GACCTCAGGACCTTTATCATGCGCCTCATCAGGCAATCGACCTTTCGAGTTAGCTCGAAACCTCCACGTAATGGGGTTCTTCGATCGTAAACGACTTCCTATTCTAATTGGCAGTTTGGAGCAAGTACGCCCTCCAGATCGAATCGTTTTCTCCATATTAGACGGTAAACATTCACTCAACATCTCTTCCGTCTTTGGCCCTCCCAGCTTCCGTGTCAGACATGCAGCAGTTTTTTCTAGGATGTTCAATGCAGTTTTTGTATCATCTAAAACACGATTAGACACTTCGTTCTGCTTAACAACATCAATTTCACGGTTTGTTATATCATTATATCCCTTTAAGAGTCGATACTTCTCACTCCACTCGAAAGCAAACTTGTGATTAAGCTTCTGTTGATTACTAGGCTCTCCTCTAGACTGGTCTTCGCCATTTTCAGGATATTTGTCAACTTTTGTGATTGTATCAACATCCAAATTTAACTCACTTTCATTAGTATCCTGGGTAGTCTCTATATTCAAATTTATTCTTAGTCTTTCTTCTACCTTAGAAGGGTCTGTATAAGGATTAAATTCGTTTCGTATTCCTCCTCGGTTCTTAGAATTCAATTCTGAAGAAGGATCACAAGATTCCACGTTGAAAGATTTCAACTTCTGATCCGTATCCAAACTGTTCTTCCAGCTATTTTCCTCCTTCGTTTTAAGATAGTAAATATCTTCATCGTTCATCAACTGTAATGTTAACGGACAGCCATTACTATTAAGATACACTTTTTGGTCTAGCAAGTAAGTCGTTCCCCGATTTTCGATGATCTTCATATCTTCTTGATCATTTTCATCGTCCAGAGAAATAAATTCCCAAATACCAGTCATTTCCTCACATTTTCCGCTACTAATCGAAGGAGATGGCGCCACCTTTACGTCATGGGAAGTAGATACATCCAGAGTGTCTGGCAAACAGTCTTTATCCACCGCACGGTTTACGAATCTCTTAATTTTTTCGGAAGAACTAGCAGATTTCACGTTCTCTTCGTCATTGGAAACTGCATTGCTTACTGGAGATCTTGAACCTCTGAAAAATTGCACGTTTTCTTGGTTTTTTGCTTGTTCTAAGTCTTCAATACAAGGCTTGGATAAGGATTGTGTCTTCTTTTGTCGATCACTTGGCGGAGAACACGTTCTAGATCGTATCCTCGATCCCCGAGAATCTTCAGAACGTTTTCCAGCATTGTTTTGCCTCACTGAATGAGAGATCATCGATGGTTTGTGATTTCTCGAAGACTTCTGACTTTTCTGCAACGTTTCCTTGTTTTTATTTTTAGAATTCTTGAACGCAGAGATTTTCAAGTTTTTCCCATCGTCTTCTGATATATTTACGTCTAAAACTTCCGGGTAATCTGGTTCCAAAGCTACCATGATTTTTTCTCTGTCAATTATTAATTCTTGATCGCAGATGCTTGAATCGACTTTGGGATAATTGGCGCGGATGGATAGAGAAGGTTTCGGTCTCTTCCGTGCCGGAGACTGACTATTCACCGTTTCTTTTTGAAAGTTTTGTGTTGCTGGATTTTGAGAACACTGAGTATCTCGGTGTAGTTCACAAAAATTGTATTTATACCAGCGACGCGTTCTTGTTCTTTCTGGTGAATTCTTTCTGAACTTTGCGTTCGTTTCGATGTCCTGTCCTTTTGGGGTTCTTCTAAATGTTGCATTGTCGTTAACGTCGCCATAGATGGAAGGTTTTTCCCAATGACACTAACAGTTCGATAAAAGAAACAAAGAAAAACTATTAATTAACTTTAGTTGCTTTAATATATTCTTATACTGTATACAATAAATTTTATTATTTTTATTTATAGGAAAGTATTAATAGATATTGCACTTCACATTATAAATAATACATATATAGAATGTAAGATATCTTTGTGATAAAGACTATAAATTTCACAGGGAATGATTGTATTTATATTTAATGCATGACCATTTGTGGTTCTCAGAAATAAAAAGGTTAAGATTTTTTACAATTGATCTATTCTAGTTTCAACCATTTAATACTCACTTGAGGAATATGTTTTTCTTCCTTAGGAACAGGATATAATTTTCCCATATCAGTCACGACCCGCTCGGTTTGTCGTAACCGTTCCCTGCCGATCTTGTTCCCAGGTTTTTCTTCGAATTGCATTTTACTACCTTCCTTCATTTTTGAATTGCTCAGAGGATGATATTGATTATTATTTTGCGGCATCATAATCGACGTTCTAGCGTCACAACCTACGTCGAAGAGTTCGATAATCTTGCTTGTGCCTTCAACAGAATTGTCTGCGGAAACAGGCGGAACATTATCAAAAAAAAATAGAAATGGACTGTCAGCGAAACTGTTCATATTTCATTGAGATCTAAACTTCCAGAATTTACGAACGACGTCGATTGCATAGCCTCAAAAAGTCCAGACATTTAGGCAGCTATAGGTTGAACGTCTTGCAATCGCTTTATCATCGATCATACTTTCCAATAATGAAGGTGTATTATATTTTTTTAGAAGTATTTATGCAAGCTGATCATGTCGATTTTACTTGAAATTTTAGCTTCATGTCATTCGATGAATTTATTACATATTTTCTCCGACATTTTTTTGCTCGGATCGATTACAGCATCGTCATGTGTTTATTAATATTACGTCAATCTACACTACATTTAAAGTTATAAGTAGATTTGTGGATTTTATATAATTACACCAAACTTTAACATATTAAGTAGTTTCAAATAGATACAATAACAACGTAAATAGCAGATAGACGACTTAAGACGGCTTAATGACAGTTTAAAGGCACCTCAGACAAAAACGTCCGACACTAACTTCTGTTAAAAAATAAAATAAAAGTTTGTTCTTGTTTGATTCCTATACCTTACGCCTTACATTATAACAGAAGAAATTTAAATAAATATCCGCAGATTAATTCTAAGACTTATAAACTTATTTCATATAAGTAGCATTTTAATTTACTTTGCCATAGAAAAAAAATTTGAAACTTTTCTCAACTCACTAAAACATGTGTAGATATATGTATTTAAAAATCAGTTGCCGGTACCGTTTTTATATATTAAATGAATAAGAAACGAATGATTTCGCCAATATGGTTTTAAAATAATTTACAGTGGCCGTTCGTTTATTGCATATTTCGAGGCTGTAGAGGGCCAGAATTCCAGGAATTATGCAATAAACATGCAGAAAAATGTTCAGTTGTGCGACTCATATACATATAGGGTAGGCTGGATATACGTACTTTATGGACACCTTAATTATCTCCGTTAGTTTTAGAAATATCAGAAAAATTTATTCACAGAAGTTGTTTAATATGAAAAGAACTATTACTTAGCAGTAACAATTTTTTCGTAAGTGTTTCGTAGATCTTCATAGTTTTCAAAGTTAATTACGTTTTCTCTTTAATGATACTAAAACACTGTGGAATAAAAATATTTTTTTTACGTAAATGGATTCTTTATCTAAATTTGCTTAATTATCTATTTATGTAATTGTACACCTATGTATTTCAGTCTAATAGACAATTATGTAATGTTTTTACTTCATTTCATTGAGTTTGTTAGGTATAATATTTTACTTCTGACTCATAATCAGTCATTTTGAGATACTTATTATTAAATTTTCATAATATTTTTGAAATATTCAGTCCTATTGTTCTATAACTTTATCATTGAGAACCATCTGTTAATGTTTTCAACTAGAGATCACTGGACAAAGAATTAAATATTGATGAATATGTTTATACATACATATATTCAACAGTCTCAGTAGTAAAATATTGTAAGTAACGAATTGAAGACAATACACTTAAAAAATGTATTGTTTCTTAAGCTAAAATAGTTGTAGAATTATAGACAGGTTGAATTTTTTAAATATTTCATATATGTAATATTTATAGAAATAATCATTTAAAACATTGTTATTGGTTTACTTTTACTTTGTACTATTTTAATAAGTTCTGCATTATCACTCCCTAGACAAACACATTTTTTTTAATAGGAATTAATAGTTTTATTTACAAACTGTATATCAATTTTTAGCTTTTTGCAGCTTTTCGATTTGTATGATTAACCACCTTAAAAATATTTAATATTCTCATGCTTAACTCTGACTTTATTATAAGTTTATATGCTTACATAACTACTTATATTCAGTATGAATTAAACATGATACAAAATGTAGTTGATTATGATTGAAAATATTTAAAAACATTGAAACATTTTATGAATACAATATTATTTACACCACATATTCTGTGATGAAATATGCAAGTTAAACGCGTCACGAAATACGTGTGAGCGAGGGGCGTTGCCAATGTGCAATAAAGGAAAGTCCAATTAACGAGCGGCCACTGTATTCATAATTTCGATTCCCTTTACAAATTTATCGACACACGTAAATGTGGCGACCGGGTGGTAGACGCTCGATAATTGTTCATCTCGGGGCTGTAGAGGGCCAAATTTCCAGGAACTGGTCAATTATCGAGCGCCAATTACCCGCGCGCTTTCCCCACCAGTCGTCCATTCATGTGCGCGACGCAGCGATATATAGGGTGGGCTGGATGTATGCAGTTTTTGATCATCTTAATTACATATCTACGTTATTTTAGAGATATCAAATATATTTATACACAAAAGTGGTTTAGTATGAAAGAAGCTATTACATAACAGTACATAGTGCGTACATCGACATGCAAACTTAGCTTCCGCTAGGGGAAAAAATGGTGCATACAAAGAGTCTCCTATCACTTGATCTCGACAATTACTGAAATTTATATGAAATCAACATTCGAGTTAACCTTTATTTCGTTACTTGAAATAAATTTACTAACTGGCAGGAGGCCCTTCTCCAACGCCACTTTTTCCCCTAGCGTAAAACGAGTTTACTCCGGAGGGTACATCCAGCCCACTCTATATATGTATAGCTGCGTGAACAAATGAACGAACGATTGACGGGGAGAGGACGCAGATGATTGGAGCTCGTTGAATGCAATATTTAACTCTTTGCAAATCTAAACGCTGCAATAAACGAGGTGTTACTGTAACATGAAATGTATTACCCCAAACGATATAATAGTTTTAAATTACTTAAAAGTATAAAAATTGTTACTGCATGAATTAATACAAAATGAAATTAATTATTTAATCGATATCAAGTTTCTTGAAGCTTCCTTCAACGCCAAAGAGATCAGTCGCGCTCTTCCCTTTACCAGGCCTCAATGTCTCGTTTACGCGTTTCGTTCGTTCCTCTTCTAAAAAGTATTCACGATTTGCTTCAAGTGCTCTCACACTCTTTTCGTGTAGCTCTTGCAGCGGACCAGCTTTTCCGCCTGCTTCGTTCGGTAACGCGTCCACGGGAAGGAATTTTCCCACGGTATCCAACGTCGTGTGTGTATGAAGCTGAAAAAAATAAATAATAGTGGACTTGAGATTAATCCTAAATTTTACTTTTTAACGATCTTATAACACGTATTTTTTCAACAATTTTTTAAGTCCTTACAGCAAATATCTCATGTGTATATTATTTTATATAGAAAAACCTAAAACTTAAGAGATTCACTATAGAAAAGGTTTAGTCTTTCCATGTAATAAAACTGAGAATGCAATTAATAGAAATGCTTGATAAAGTTTCCTCTAATGATTGGGGGGGGGACTCCTTGGGGACCACCTCCAAATCGATCGAATCGCAGGTATAAACAACGGGGCGCTAGTGAAAATACATAATCGATAACTGGGACAGCTTCATGATGAAGTTGGGTTTGACTATTCTGCTACGCGAAGACATTGTTGATGGACCTTATCGAGAGTTTTCTTACGTGGTTGCCACATATGAAATCTCGCGTCGAGCCGTATTCTATCGTTCTCCTGATGGCCAGAATTGTAATGGGGAACATGAGACAACAGCGTAACAAAACACTCGATACGGTACGGCAACTATACTGATTTGTACGTTTAAAAAGTTAGTTAATAAATATAAATTACATATTACCATATCCAATAGCTCCTTTTTCATGAACGGTTTCATCATATTAAGAATCACGTCCATTACCGGTGTGATGTTCATAAAATGAAATCCTTTTAGACGGACCGGAAGTGCTTCTTGCAAATAATAAAGGTACTTTTTCAGTCCCATGGGACTCAACCTAGCCGCGTGACCAAAAACGACGTTCTTCATGTCGAACAATATAACATGACCCGGCGTCGTGCCGCCTATGTAAAGCCATAGATCTACGATCATGCTAAGGAATTTCATTCCATCATTATAGATATAATGAGAGGGCTCATAATCGAGCAATCTCCCATAGAGGATAGCATACCCGTCGCTTGTCGGTTTATCTAAAACTTGAACCGTCCTGTAACATAATTATTCGATTCTAATATAGTATGAACTCATTAATTCGATAGACAGGTTTTTCATTCAATAACAGCTCATAAGCATTGAAAACATCTTACTTAAGCTTCAATTATTTGAAAGTTGCACAACAGAAATATGGACATTAGAAATACATATAGGTACCTAAGTAGTAAAATTTGTTATACTTAAGTTTCCAATACTCGGATGTTAACAAGTGCACCGTGGAGCCCATTTCGTCTAACTTTCCGTTCACGCCGATTGTCTTATTTTAGATTTGAATTCCTATTACATATCGTTCATCGGTGATCGGCGCAGCGTGAACGAAAGTGGTTCTATGTTGGACACTGGTGACCGACATGACGCACCAATGAGCCATTCGATGGCGCTAATAGGAAACAAAAACAATCGATCCATTTAAAAAAATGGAGGTGATCTTGAAATATCCAAAGTACCTCCACCTGCGAAAAAACTATTAGCGCCATCGGATGGCTCTCTTCGTACTGTGCAATTTTGGTTAAACAAATATTCCTCTGAACCTTATAGTTTCAAAGATATCTGCGGTGGCAATAGCTATTGCCCCACACTGTATACAAGGTGGTCCACGAAACTTGTTCACCCTAAATAACTTCTAAAGTATGCATTGTGTGAACAAATTTTTTATAGAAAAGTTTTTTCAATCGTCGACTACTGCAGTCGATTAAATGTAGTCGCTTCAAGCGACACGCTCGAACTATCGAGCTATTGATCGCTATTGACTGGATCTTGATTATTTTCTTCGCGATGCAAACGAATTGTAATTTTCCCATATATTTTTTTATGCATTACCAATAACTGTGCAAATTATTGCTTATAACCTAATTGATTTTCATAAAAAATTTAGAGCAGTTAATTTTTTAAATGCCAATATTAAATAGCTTACAAAAAAATCGAATATTAGTAATTGTTTAAAAAAACTTAATGGTAAATACACCAATGGTGCTGAAAAGTTGATGACATAATCTATACATAACCTATAAAGGAAAATTTCAGTCGACTAAAAACTATCGACTAAATAGTCGATAGCATGTTGCGACTAAATAATCATTAGTCGATAGTTTAATTTAATCAATGGTGCCCATCAGTAGCATGAACACGCGCAGCCAAACTCTCGTATAAATCGAGCGTTCCTTGCACGTCAACCAATTAAAATTGAACCTTTCAAGAGTGTTTTGCAATGCGCGTTGCTCGCGTGTGCTCTGCCTGACCAAGGTCGCGAATAACGACGCGGTGCAAAAGACTCTTTAGAGGGTCGATTTTAATGGGTCTACACGCAAGGAAGCCTCGAGTTGTACGGGATTGACTGCGCGTGTTCGTACTCGCTGTTACATGTGTCTGGACCTGCCTTAAGGGAGGAACTATCTACCCTCACGAGCAAACTCGGCTTCCGCTAGGGGAAAAAGCGGCGTAGAAAAAAAGTCTTCCATCACTTGGTAAATTTATTCCAGATAGTGAAATAAATGTTAAATCGAATATTAATTTGGCATACATTTCAGTAATTCCAAACACCAAATGGTAGGAGGCCTTTTCCCTACGTTACTTTTTCCCCTAGTGGAAGTTGAGTTTGCTCGTGGGTGTACGTTCGTGCAGCTAGTACTTAAGGCAACATGCAACGAGAACAATTGAGACGTGAAAACACGAGATCATGACTGTATGAAAGAAGACAAACATAAATTGTGTTCTGTAGTATTATGCAATACTAACGCTATTTGCAGTGTCCGTTATGTTGAAGCCAGTTTCTAGTACATTCAGTCTCTATTATCGTGTGACACGAAAAATTACTTTAAAAACAAAATTAACACTTCCACCATTTTATCTCCTTGTGAAGAACAGACAGCTGTCATTATTTCACTTACAATTGGACAATTTAAAACGGAAGTTTCGAAACAAGTTATGTTTTCTACAATATAATTGCCCGTGTAAATAAAGTTAGTAAATACTTCTGAAAGTTTTTACTCTTAAAGGAAAGTGGCTCTTCCATTAATAAATAATACATATTTTTTCTGAAATTTTCGTTTAAATACGATTTAAGTATTGTCTTTTTATACACACTTACACTGTCTGAAAGGCTTTCCTCAGTTCCTTCGACCCCAAAGGATCCCTGTGTGAGAAAAATTCCGGAACATGCGTTCTCACGGTGTAATACGTATCGATAGTGGCTTTTGTCGGCTCTATTCGATGATAATTACTGTGCAAAAATAACACCAATTCGGTGTCGGTTAATTTCGGCAAATGAGGCTGCTTCTTGGACCAGTCTCTCAGCATTTGTATGTCCTCTTCCTTTAAGTCTGAATTTCTCTTTAACTCTTCTTCGTATGTCACTGGTTTCGTACTAGCCATCCTGATTTCTTAAAGTTGTAAAATTAAATTTAGTTTTGTTATTATTTTACGTTACAGAATTGACTTTAATTTTATCGTAAGTAAGAGTGTTTTCTAATTTTGTCACACGCTAGCAAATTAAGAATCGGTTATTTATTCTTTTATACGTTCCCTTTGTTAAATTTAACAAATTGATACTGCTACCTTTGAAACTTCTTTCGAATTTGCGACTGAAGTAACTGCGATATGTAAATGGCAAAGTTGGAGTGCCTGAGTACTGAAAGACAATTTAGTTCGTGATGATCGAGTCGACGGCTTGAATGATACTGACTACTGCAGACATTCAAGTACAATCGAGAACTTAAAATGTGATGGAACAGGCAAATACTACCATGTAATCACGTATAGCGTGACTACCGAGGTCGTCAGACTAGCAAGTGTCAAATTATATATCCTGAAATGACATGAAAATTGTCCGATGATAATAAGAAAGAAACACGAGAATAAATATATTTGCTGTATCGTCAATTTTCGTACATTTCGTACTGAATTTCCGTTACCTATATTGAATTTTTATGAATAACAAAATTTACTTGTGTAAATAATAAAATGTTAATAAAAATATCAATACCGTTATATCTATAAATTTCTTATATTCATTCTGAGGAAACGGAAAATTTGCGGAAGTTTCCGGACCTAACCCAGACACTGGCAATAAGTAACAAGTTCCATGACGAACACGAATACGTTCTATGATATTAGAAAAGAGACTTGCAATTACACAAAATTGTTAGTTTACGAATATTGAAGGATGCGTTACGTATTACACTGACAATTAGATATTCTAGCTTTTTACTAACAACTTTCGAAGTTAATTCGTCCAGGGAAGTACACAAAGATCATTGCACAAAAATTTTAGTATAGTGTTTAATGACGAGCCAAATGTTGAGTAAATTGCATATATTCTTGGTACACATTGTAGTACAGCGATTAACCCTTGTAATAAAATCCTTTTTTTCTTACGTAGACTACCAAGGGGGGAGGTACACTTTATGCTCTGCATTACAGTATAATGCATTAGAGAAGCTATAATAAAAAAAAATGATTATAGTTACATAAACAATTTTATGAATAATTTTTGCAATACTTACTATTTTTGTAAAATTTAAGTTTTGAAATAGAACTTCAGGCAATTCAGTCATTTTCACTTTAACAAGTATTATTATCCCCAGATATCCGAATGTCCTACGTCCGTTTTGGACATCCCTAGGACGTTCGTAAGACTTAAATTTCGGATGTTCTAGAAACGAGCGTCCCAAAAGTCCTACGGATGTTCTCAAGACTTAAATTTCGTGTGTTCTAGAAACGTCCGTCCCAAAAGTCCTACGGATGTTCTCAAGACTTAAATTTTGGATGGTTTCGTTTAGTATTTTTGTCAATGTCATTCCGTGCAAGATGATGGAACCCCATGAACAAGGTGTCAGTTTTTAAAGAATCAATAGAGAAGTGTAACGACACTAGTGGTTTCCAACTATTTTTAATATTGGGAATTCTGAAAATAGCAATATGATGGGTATAATGTAGTAGGTTAAGAATTGTTTTAAATGTTCAGTGCTCAAACCATGTGACACTTAATAGGGTAATTTATAACAGGGTGTCGTACATAAGTAGTTATATTTAAGGATCTTTCAAAATTTGTTGGTATGTATTTTGGATTGTTTCCTCGATATATCTGAATATAAAATATTGTTACGTGTTACCCGATAGGTAGTAAGTACCTGCTGTGTATTGTCAAAGCGAGTAGCTTTGGAATGGTGGCGTCGTTCTGGTAACGGCGGCCAACATAGACAATTGAGAGTCGTGGTACGACCTTGACAGAAGAATGTATCAAATATAAGTACTCTTCCTCTTGAAATAAATAATTCTTTTCTTTATAAACTTTGTCCTGTCATTATTGGAGATTATGCCGCGTCCACGCAACAATATTTAAAAAATTGTATACATACATAATTGTCTGTTGTTTTTTACAGACCTATATCTACACTTTTTGATTTATTTTAGTTACATCTTTACAATCATCTTTAGAGAAATAGTAAATGCTTCTTTTGCAAAATATTTTGACTTTCTTAAATTAGTACAAAGTTTATATTCAGAAGTACAACTATATATAATTTCTAGAAGAATTGGAAAATGTTAGGATTGCGGAAGTACGGATATTATACGCGTTAACGTTTGTTTAATACTTGATGCACTTCGCTGAAATTGGATCAACCGGATTTGCTTTATTGCACAGGTTAAACTCAATAGTTACAGTACAGAAAGTGATACAAGTGCTCGCTCACAACACGATACAGATTGTAGATTATGAGTGTTCAAGGCGATCGACGCAGCGATCTATCTTACAATCGATAATGGCTATGACGTCATGCATACGTAACGAGAGCGCGCGAATTGAAATCTACTTTCTAACAGAAAAAAACTTAAGAAAATTGTTTCATGGAATCCAAAATAACGATGGAGAAACAATTAGTGCGTACAAGTTAAATTAATTGGACTTAATTATATACAATTTAATACTCTTTCATGATCGCTTTATTTAAGTTTGAAATAGGCGAAACAATTAAAAAAATTTATATTAACAATAATTCCTCTGCATTATTCACGACTGTAAGAGATTTAAGAAGAAAAGAAAGTAAAATACTTGTTACGCACCAAAAAATTTAATTCGATTTATTTGACATAAACAATAAATATAATTGCTTCACAATTTGTCATTATACTGATGGTTAGAATGAAAACAGAAATGTAGACAATTTTATTCGATACATAAAGAATAAAAACAACTTCTGAATGAATTTATACTATTCATCGAATCACTTTTTATTCCTATGTAAGGAAGTATTTTCGTTAACAGAGAAACAAGAACAGAATGAAAATTCCGTTATGTTGAAAATTTGTATGATTTACATTTTAGTTAGAGATGAATAAAATCTACTTTTATTAAATATAAATCATGTCACTCTTTGGTAGAAAATACGTCATACTCTAGGTGTTAAACAGGATTGCGCGTTATCAAAATAAACACTTAATCAATCGATTATTCAGATAAAATGTATTCTTTGTTATTTATTCTGTTCTTTCTTCTTAATTGATATTGTGTCAGAAATAATCGAGTTGAGAGATATTTTACATTCTTGTATGTTATTTTATCTCGAATTTGAATAGTTTTTCTTTGGCTTCTTCAGGAAAATAAAAATATGTTTCGTATTTCGTATTTGTTATTTTGTGTTATTATTACTTGAAACTATAAAATCATTTACTGAATATCTTTCTTGAACACAATTTACCGAATTACTATTGTAGAGTTACATTTCCATTGACTCAATAACTAGGAAAAACCAGTTTATCAAAGTGTTCTTTCACTTTTTAAATTTATTTACCTAATTACCTTCGTATTTAGCAATATCGTAACATCTATATCAGAAGAAAATAACTGTATTCACGTTTATTGTTGCCAAATATTCGTTGGACAATTTTAATTCGTCTTTAATTGCGTCCTATTTCATATTGAAAAATCTTCCAGTTTACAGACTACATTTATTTGAGTAAGTATTCATCATCATTCATTTTCATTACTATTTCAATTAAAAAGTACTCTATCTTGTTCATGACGTTGAAGCGCTAATGTGAGACGAGTAGAATTCTACAGTGGACATAGACCTGAGAGTTACTCGGTGCCATTTCATTTTCTAGTAGATATTGCGTCTATTTTTGAAAGTATAATTCGCATTGATCTACTCTTACTTACATCAGGGAACACAAACGTAAGAGCTACTACCAAAAGTTAATCTCATGTGTACACGTACATAGTACATATAAGGAAATTGAGAGAACTTCTAATCAATTTCGAGCTTTTTGAAAGTCCCGTCGGCGCCAAAGAGATCATTCGCTGTCTTGCTTTTGCCAATACGCTGAGACTCGTCCACTCGACCCAATTTTTCCTCTTCTATAAACCATTCCCGTTTATCGTCAAGTTGTTGTATTTGTTCCTTGTGTATTTTGGATAGCGACTCTCCTTTTCCACCAACTTCATTCGGAAGTAAATCAGGAGAAATGAATTCCTTCAACGACTTCAGCGATGAATGCAAATGTATCTAAAAAAAATTCAGTTAAATACTAATTAATAACTCTATCCAGACCTTTCCCTGTGTGTAGATGATCTTCATAAGTCACACTGTGAAAGAAATTTTGACCTTTTGCCGATTTTGAAACCTTCAACAGGCGTTTCTGGTAGATCTCTAAGAGCTGAATACGAATATGCAAATCTTTTTTCTAGAACATAATGTTTTTGAAAAAAACCAACTAATTTTGAAATTTAGAGATGTTTTCTGCTTTTACTGTAATAGTTATTTAATTGCTGTTGACACGAAATAATTCTCTGAACTCTCCGGAACAAAATTATGTGAATTGTTATTATATTATAAACATCTAAATATGTTCAACTAATGAGGAGAGTGAAAAGGACACTCAAAACACGCCAACTTATGCTGATATTTTTCAATTTATTTCAACAACTAAGGGCCTAGGAGAAAAGCTAACCATAACATGCGATACAGCAGACCTTTCTGTGGAGAAAGTTGCCAAGAAAGCTACAAAATCATGTTTTGTTTTCAATATAGCGATGTAATGGTTTTTGAAAAAACACGCGGCGACAGTGATTAATTGCAGTGGCAGTTTTTATGTCTTAAGTAGTGCAATTATCCGACTATGTAGTAATATAATTAATTCCAAGGATAACCGCGTCAACTAACGTATTATTAATTACGAAATATATACACTATTTAATACGTAACAATGCTTAACTTACAATTAGAAGAAAAATAATTATTAAATGTTAATTAATTAGCGTACGATGTCTTTTATCAGTTCAATATTTACTTCTGGACAACACGGAATTCCATGCTCCATTAATAACATTGTTCAACAAATTTTAATCTTAGTTCTGTTTTGCAATATCCACTAGGCCATCCACGAAGAGTTTCTCGTACTAAACACGAATCCGCAAGCAGAATTGCTTTATCACCCGCGGTTTTTGAAAAACACGAATTTTTAATAACTGTACACACTAATCCAATCAGAAAATTCTCCTCTACCTTTTAAAACTAAACTGAAGTTAGCCTCTAACGTGTTTAGTTTTCACGTAATACATCAGAGAAGACTGCGTTAAGAGTAAAGAAATGAATAAAAAAGAGGAATATATTTAACAATAAATATTTCTAGTTTCCCTGACATATTTCTTGCTATGGAAACAATTCTAAACATTTAATAATAACACTTCGTGTAAAATTACTTTGTTAAAAATGATATTGGGTTAGTAGAACAGAATAGAACAATAACAAACTGCATAGTAGCAAACTGAATTAAGTAATCAAATTTTCGTCAATACAGTATAGTTGTTAGGCAAGCTATCCCGAAGAATGATTTGCTAGGTAACATGTAGATTATAATTTATTATCATTAATTTATTCATTAATCATCATTGTTTCTAGTTATTCGTTCACTTTATACGATATAACTCGAATTTTTCTTTCGATATCGTTAGTATAAAATATACAAGTTATGTGTCGCGTATAAGAAACTGTTATTTCTCCACCAATCAGAAACGATCACAAAAAATCACGAATCACTGTTAAAAATCACCGTGATTAGGAACGAACGTGATCGAATCACTCGTGATTAACAAATACCAGTTGACTCCATCTCTAGTTCCTTGGGACCGACATAACAGTAAGGTGGGAGAACACTGTGGTGCTCGAATCAATCGCTGCTGCAAGGGTAATTCGAAGCAACCAAAACTCGTAAATTTAAATACAAGGTGAGTCTAGTAACGTGACGACTTCAAATAACTCGTAAGTATTTATTGTACAAACAAATTATTCAAACAAATGTTGCATGATTCCCAGGGGGACATACAATGCTGTAATCTGTTTTTTGTTATTTTGCTTTATTATCGAGATATGAGGGTCACCCTCAGTTTTTTCAAATAGAATTCCTAATATTTTTTCTCGAATCATATCGCACATTTCTCTGTTCCTGAACATCTTACTTTTACGTTTATTGAGCTACCAAACAGCTACTAAACTCAGCTACATCTCATATTCATGATGTCTAACATATAACAAAATTCTGTTTACAAACATGACTTGCCGTTGTAAACGAAGTTGTGTTCTCACGTTGACTGAGCATTATGAAATATTTCCTAATAAAAGATTATTAAGTTGAGTATATCTCAGTAATTATTACTTTTAAGCCCTCTTTGATATAATACTCTTTTACGCAGAATTTGGTGGTTTATCCGAATTCCGGACAAAATACTGGGCATTCTATTTAAAAAAAATTGAAGGTGACCCTCATATCTCGATAAAAAAGCAAAATAACAAAAAACAGATTACAGCACTGTGTCCCGCCTGGAAACCATACATTTGTTTCAAAAATTTGGTTGTACAACAAATAACTTTATTGTAAGTTTATTATATGCAAAATAAGCATCCTTTTAGGGAGATGAAGTCCGAACTGCCGATACCCAAAACTGTTCATCTTCTATTGTCTATCTTGTCTACCTTTGTTACTGTTCATCTTCTATTGTCTATCTTTCTTACCTCCGTTAACCATCAATGATTGGGGGGGGGGGCTTGATCAGACAATCATTTACTAAAAATGGTAGTCAATATTACGTGCTTTTTAGGGACGATATATGGAATAATATGACTTTAAGAAACAACAATTCGCTGCATTCAGAGGAATATAAATACAGTATTAAATTGTCCCTCACCATACTCCACAGTTCTTTCTTCATAAACGGTTTCGCCATATTCATTATCACGTCCATCACTGCAGGTGTGTTGATGAAATGAATTTCCTTCAATCGAACAGGTATCGCTTCCTGAACATACATCACTAACTTCTTCATTCCCATAGGACTTATTCGACCGACATGACCCAGAGACACATTCGACGAGTCACCGATGAAAATATATCCGTCGCAAGTTCCAGATTCAAGACCCACCAAGTCGGACATCATGAAGAAATACTTGGTGACATCTTCGAAGGAGTAATGAGAAGGATCGGGATCTACAAGTTTCCCGAAGAGTATTTTGTAACCTTGCTTCGATAGATGTGGTAATTTAGTGGCGGCCCTGTGTTACAAGATCAGTATCTAATTAATATGAAATTTGTTATTTGTTCTTTGCTTCAAAATATTGTTATATATTTTGCTGTATATGGATATCGATAGTGAAAGTGTTTAACTTGACAGCACAGTTTTACCCGCTTAAGGAGGCATGTACACCTAAAAATTTCAAACTTTTCGAGTATTACATATTCCTAAAGTATAATACCATGAAAATGTTTCTACAAAGTTCCAAATTGATTTGATGAAAATTAAAGGTAATACAGTGGACTCTTGACATACTGCAGCTTGGCATATTGCCGCGCGAGGCACTTCCCCTCCACAAGTACTTTCACGCACAGAAGTTCGCTCTACCACCAGGTTGTGTACGCCGTCGTCGTCGGGACGATCCAGCTCTTACGTAGGCGTTGGGGCCAGGACTACGACAACAGAACGTAGCATGGACAGGGCTGTCAATACATTGCCATTTTCGGGAATTTTACTCTCCTACAGCCCCAGCCGTGGCAATATGGTAAGAGTCCACTGTATATACAAATAAAGCCGAACGCTTCCGAGTGTTTTAACAGAATATCATGCTTCAGACGAGTTTTTCTCAAAACCATACTTTCAAATCGCGTACCAAAAATATCTCGGGGATGACTGAACCGATTGTGTTGATATTTTTCGCGTTTATTTTACACATAAAGAAGTAGTACTTAACATACGATTTTTCAAAAAATTGCATACGCACAAACAATTGCATCGTGCGCGCAAAAGTGCTCAAATCAGTACGCGGCTTTAGAAAAGATTTTAACATTGATGTTCATTGTTATGAACAATTTGCAGCAAGTTTTTTTACAAATGTCTACCGATCCAAGGATGTAGATTGCTGTAGATTCAGCCCCTGAAGCCATAGTTTTTCCATGTACTTATTCGTAGTGTTCCAAATAAAGATAAATCAAGTTATTGGAAGTCTCGAATAACGAATAAAAATAAATGATCTTTTATTCGACTTTATCTAGATAAAATTTTGCCCATCTCTGCATACACTCAACGAAATTTACAAATATACTTGCCCTTCACTACATCCTGTACATATTAGTTATTATCATGTTTTACTTTGTGTAATACAATATTTATTTATTTATACTTATTTTATACTTTCAATTCAAGGTCATTCAAATACCATTATTCCTTCTTTCTGCAGCAGGTTACAATATCTTTATGTGTACACTGCATTGGTAATTAGTAAAAGAACACTTGTATGAGCATTGAATATAATCAACAACCGTCACACACTTACCACTAATTTCAAGTTGGATTCTAGATTTAGAAGCTATTAAAATTAGCATCAAGGAATGTTCTGTATTATAATTTTGCATTTCGTGACCACTAAAACATATTTAAAATAAATATAGAGTAAAGGAAACTTACACTACATTAAATGCTTGTCGTAGATCCTTCGATCCTAGCGGATCTCTGTTCGAGAAAAATTCCGGCACATGAGACCTGATGGTGAAGAAATTCTCCGCTGTGTTTTTCGCTGCCTCAATACTATAGTAATTACTGTGCAGGAATAATATCAAAAGCATATCTGAAATTTTCGGTAAATGCTGTTGCTTCTCGCACCATTCTCTCAACATTTCTATGTCCGACATTTTGATTTCAGGATTCTTCTTCAATTCGTCTTCTAAAGAGAATGAATACGGTAAAGGCACCATCTTCTTGGCAGCCATCGCTTAAATAATTCAATCTGTAAAGAAAATAAAAGTAAAATGAAGGAGACAGATTTATATTCTGATGGAAGAAAATCAAGTTTGTGACAATTATCTACCTAGAATCTTTGAATTGTTAAACGATGTTTAGATCGTACGTAATAGCAGGTTTTTTATTTTCAGTCCATGACGGGAAACTGGAATCTTATATAACTTTGATAAAAGTAATCAGAGGTTTAGAAGATTTTTGAAGTTGTAAAATATTTTATTAAATCGTATATTTGCAAGTTAAATTACACTTAATACTTGTACCTCTTTATATCTAATTATTTAATTATAAAAAAGTCTTATAGACATTCTATTTGCTCGGGCATTCTATAGATTTACCACTTTTTCGGTTTGTTTTATTTTTATTATTTTTTAACATCAATTTATAATTATACATGGTATGTATTTAATTTATATTCTAATAGAGAATTACAAGCTGTATAAGACCCAGTATATTAAGGTTATAAGTCGACGTTAAGAAATAATAGAAATATAAGGAATCAAACAAGTGGTAACTCTTTTGTCTTCTACTGTATATTAGATTAAAACTAAGTTATTTATTAGACACACGTATCAATAATAATTCACTATATTTTTTTATGTAATAAATCAGAGAATATATCTTTCTGATCTTTTCTTTAGCGGTAATATTGTCTAAGACATCCTAGAAGAAAAGCGAATATTGTCAAGATAGCCAATATATCTAATTTCTTCCTACTTAGCACAGAATTTAATTTAAAAAATAACATTATTTTCTGCTACACGTAATATCATAAATCAGAAATGATCGTAATTCACATGCAAATGTAACATTTTCAATAACTAATAAAATCAAAATTTTGTTCTGTTAGAAAAAAAAATTACTATGAATGCAGTTTCGTTTCTTTTTAAAAAGTAAAAAGTAACTATTAAAAAGTACAATATTCATAACAATATCAGTGCTCTTTGCTGCTTATTTCACACAATTGATTAGTTTAAATTCAGAAAAACTTGATTAAAAATACAAAGATATTTTGGAATTTGTTTCCTAATTATCCAAAAAATTATTTGACGTATCATTCAAAAGAAGTTTTCAAAATCTACCAAAATTTGCAGAAGGTCAAGATAATAAAAGACAAGATTGACTTTTCGAGAGCATCAATTAAACATTAACAAGAGAATGTATCGAATGTCTGTCACTATAATTTCAAGGTCTGACCATTGAACCTTGATGAATGAACGTTCTGTATGCAAGCTTGGTTTCGTCACCTGGCAGTCCGGAAATCAAGTTGTCTGCACAACGTCCGATACACCTGACTGTTACGGTACACGTTGGCGATCGGTCAGAGGCTCGTTGAAGACTGGGAGCACCGTTCACCGTCTTGATTTTAATTCATATAAGAAATTATAACGCCGAGGTGGTGGTGTCTATGAAGTTACGGGGCAACACCGTTTCACGCTTCCATTGGAACGCATAGACAACATGTATTTCCGAATCAAGATTACCGCACTTTTTATCCGACTCACTCGCGGAAGCAAAACATAATGACGGTGGTAAAGTATGCATTAAACAATTGGTTATTTGTGGACCGTATGTACGTCGTGTAAGGATGCATTAAACAGACCTGAGTTCGTACTTAAAAGTAGACACCTATGCTAAAATGACAATTTGTGGATGTCTAATGATTATAAGAATAATAATCCTAGAAACAGCTCCGATCCTGGTGTCTTCGTATCCAGATAAAGACTTTTGAATGAAACATAAAAAGCTATGTCTATTGTCCATTTTCGATTAAATAAACATGAAATAATGCTCATATCTTCTAAAAGTTACTGAAATTTAAAACATTGCGTTCTCTGAAGTTTTACTTGTCTGACATTGCAATATTTAAATAAATAAATTAACAAATATATCAAGTTGTTTTTTTGAGAAATCTATTTTTTTCAACGTTTTTAATAGTCACGTTACAGTTAACTATTCAGAATGGTATGCAAGGAGCTATTCCACATGCAAAAGTAAGTTGCAAATATAAAATAACGTTTTCTCGCATCATGCTTCGTGTCCGTAGCGATCATTTTTTAAATTCACTTAATATATATATATACAATCACTCACAGAAGTATCCACCCATTATACATATATGGTATATTTTAAGTATTTAATTAATGAATGCTAATTAATTAAGGTATTTAATTAATTAATGCGATTTAAAGTATTTAATTAATGTTAAAGTCAAAATTAACATTGTAATTTATGTTACTAAAATCTTGCTTAATATATGTGGTTTAAATTGGGATGTTTCAAAGTATTGCCCATTTCTGAAAGCGACAGAAAAACGCACACACACATTTTTCCACGAAAAAAAACTACTTCAAATATTTAAATTAATCAATCTATACATAACAAATTAAAATTTACATTAAGGTCGCCGGGTTATCCAACAAAGTATTAATTAATTCTATATAGTTTGTTTAAAATAAATACTGCTTTTGGGCGGATACTTTTATACTGTTCTTTTACTACTTTTACTGATAATAATAATTATTTAAATAAACTATGTACAATTTCAATGCATCCTAGTCTAAAATACATATAATCACCATGTATAATTTCTCAATTGAATGCATCCTATAGTCTGTTTTTCGAAAGATGATGCCTGGTAGGTAGGCTCGAGTTTTCGCGGTGTTGCCGCGATCGCGAGACACCTACTGCACTTGTGTCTCTCTCACTCTTCGCGTCTTGGCCAATGACGTTCGACCGTTGACGTGCGTCCTCGTCTACGGTCGTCTGTCTCCATCGCACGTATTACAAACCTCTCGAGAAGGACCTACCTACAATCTCAAGTAGTAGAGACTGCATTCGGCACGCGCCCTTAATCATCCATTGTCTAGAAATGGTGGAGAATGTTGACGAGACGCTGAACGTTTTCACACGTCAAGAGTTAAAATACACGAATAAGAAAAAGTTTATTTGTTTTGAAAGAATGTATTGTACCCAAATATTGAGAAACATATTAAAAGGGGATTAAATTAATACGTAGGTTATTACAAAAAACGCTACACGTGAAAATCACAGGGTAAAGAAGGAAGTTGGTTTATCGAGCGTCTGAGCGAGAGACTCTCGTGCCGAAGTGCCAGAGGATGGAAAGAAACACACAGTGGCATTGAGACTCTGACAACTCTCCTTTTGAAAAACAGACCGTAGGACCCGTAATTATAAATGAAGTAACGACCGCAACGCGGGACGTAACACTTTATAGAGGAACGATTAACACATGTGATGGCGTTTAAAATATGGAGTGTGACCAGTTATGGAGAAGTACATATTTTGAAAATATGCATCCATTAACGTGTATTTTACAGAAGACGGACTACAGCAGAAGACTACTTTTACATTTATGGTTAACCGCTTGGGATATCGTCGAAATAAAGGTCGAAGTTGAGACTCTAATTTTATTGTATCATATTAATATATTTTAATAATTTTCTTCAAATGTTCGTAAATATTGACGTTCTTTGATTCCCATTTGAGTTTGTATATTTTTGCTAATTACGGGGTCGATTGCGGAAGCGTGCAACAGCGATGCCCGCGATCGGCCCTTACGCCCGAGAGGGTCCGAACCGAAGCGATCATTCCGTTCCGATCGGAACCGAAGCGACATCAAAGTGGGAGAGCAGCCTCAACGGTCAGAATAGCTATTCTTACACATTGGTCACCGGTAACACAACATATGAGTCATATTACATTATGTATTCGTAACCGGTGACCGAATATGTAAGTTATATGACGTCACATCTGCGTGGCCAATGACGCATCTTGTAAGACACGGACTGCCGGGACGTAAACATTGCTGATTGCTGGAGATAGGACCCAATAGATATTGCCATTTGTGGAAGTGACAGAAGAAAAACTGATGACAAAATTAAAAAAAAAACTAGTTCAACCTATGTATAACAGATTAAAACTTATGCTAAAATCTCAGAGATATCCGATAAAGCAGTCATTTATTGTAAACAAGCTGATGGCAAATTAATATTGACATTGAGCAGATATTTCTGTGTGCATTCTTATGCTATTTCTACAGATAACAATGCTTTTTCATATAAACTATGTATAATTTCTCAAATGAACACATTCTAATCTAAAGTATATCAATCAATGTTTACTAATACATAAAATATATTAGACCTATGAATTGGACTAATACTTTGGTAATTGTATATATAAATCATTTTTATAATGGTAATATTAACACGTTACATTGAATAATTTCTGTCAAGGATGATAAAAATCCGCACGATCTTTCAACGGTGCTTACAAGATAACGTATACTAGAAATTATTATACCACTTGCAAGGTTTCAAAGGTTTTCCATTTCTTAAACGTTTTAGAGGCATTAAATTCCTCAAAAATCTTAGAAATTACCCTAACGAACTCAACAAATTTTATGACTCTTTTCACGTTCGTTACATTTTTTAATTTTATATCGAATGCGAAAGTACTAAGGAATAAGTCTGCTCGGACTTCTGTTCTTGATTCTGGAGTATCAACGCGCCCGTTTGCGTTAATTAATTTTCACGAATGTGCGACGGGATTATGAAGGCATATATTGCAATGAAGAGGCGTTCACCGACACGGAAGCACGGCGATGCTTTCTAATTTAATCATTTTCTGATCTAGTTCCTCTGTTAGTCCCGTTTAAGCTGTGAATTCTACGGTTGTTGGTTTACAGGTACAAACACTTTCGAAATATGTATTTGGATGGAATTTTCATATTATTAGACTTATTTCTACGCGGTGAGATAAAGAGATCCGTGGGTCTTGGACTTATCAGTCTCTTCAAAAGGCTTCGTTTAACTTATCACACTTCTTGTTTTAGTTCATGTCATTCACAAGACTAATTTAAGGTCAAAAACGAAGGCGTCAATCATACACCGTGGGAATACAGTACTAATACGTTTAAATTTAAGGGGGGAGACTCCGTAGTGGGCCGTGAGCTGCGTGCGAGTGTTCACACAATCAACAAGAACCGTATACATATGTATATGCGATGCACCAGGGAGACAATCGATGTCGTAGAATCCAACTTCTGCCTCGATAATTGCACAAATGAAGTTTTCACGGGTATAACACTCACGGGTAGACTTCACTACAGGGTGGTCTGGTCCTTAGAAACACCAATAAACACCATACGTTAATAGAATTGGAATTTTAGAAAGTTGTGAGACACACGCCGTTTTAAACATACAAGATGGCTGTTCAGGTCAAATTTTCTCAAATTTCTCGTCAAAAGTAGACCAGACCACGCTGTATACCACTATCACACTATCGTGGAAATGCGATTTTTGTCAATTTATCACTTCTAGACGGCGTAAGTTGGATTCTATGATTTGATGCGCTCAGACTGAAGAATAACCGGGAATGTAGTTCAAGGATTCTCCGCTAAGAGCGCTTATGGTATACGTCAACCACGTTTTGAACATGTCACAGACGAGATGCAATGTAATTTTCTGTCCCATGCTTCGAGGACGTCAGAAGTCCCCTTACCATTTCAGTGTCAATACCCAACGTTACCGATTCAGTGTGAAAATATATCACCACGCTCTTGTGGCCAGAAGTAATACTAAATAACTTATCTGTGATAAATATGTGTCAATGACTTCAGCCCTGGGTCCTGCACGCTCTCTGTCGGTGCCGAGACGTGCAAAGGAATCCCGGAGATCGCCGAAGCGGGCAAGCGAGAGAGAGCGATAGAGCGTTCCGCGGTATCGGTGCTCTTCGTCGGTGTCGACGCGTGTGTACTACGTTCGTGACGTTTCATCACAAGGTACAGCGGAGTCCGGTTATTGCAACACAGCTTATTACAGCAGATCGCATATTGCATCCGACTTGCTCTCTAAGTTTGATTCCCATACACATTACTTTATATATACATATTTTCATTCTGCTTATAACATTTGTTTACAGCGACGTAATTTCTCTGTCCCTTGAATGTCGTTATAAACGGACTACACTGTATAATGTAAATGTCAGGTCGGATGAGACAGAAGTACAGTAAATCCTCGACAAGTGTTCGCAGGTTCCTCGGCACTGCATGTTAAATATTTCAAAAAGTAATGGCCATATACGACTGAAACAAACGTAATTGGCTTCAGAATTCCAAGTTCTACCATTATGTTGAACCTCATTAAAAAGCCAGCGTACACCTGGGGACCTCTCCTTACCAGTGTCAAGGAACCTTTGAATAATAATAAATAATAACAATATAAGTGTTTGTAATAATTATATTCACATTATAATGTTATGAATTACATTTATATTAAAACTCTTACAAAACATGATAATTAACCATTAATGTATAGGATGTTCTCTAAGAACTCACACCTATACGAAATATTATTTTTATTATTATTTACCTCCTCCGTTTCTTTTTTTGCGGTTTTGTATCGCTATCCTGATCATCCGTGCTTATTATGCTATTGACAACAGACCGTCGACTTCGAACGGATGTCACTTCTGGCGTCGGGCACAATCCTAAGTCAAGCGATCTAACAATACCAAAAAACATCCAAACATGTTACGTTCGTTACTTTTAAATGATTCCTCTTGTATTATCTATACCACAACTTTATGCATTATAGGTATATATTTTTTATAGATGTTTACTAATTTTAAATAACTTAAATAATATAGTAGGCAGATTGTCCAGTAGCAATTCAAATTGTGGAAATTTTACACACTTGAGATAAATGTAAATGTTATACAAGTTTTTTTTTAAATATTCAATTAACGATTGGAGTGGCAGGGGTCATTGAAGAAACTTTGTCGAAAAGTCCCAAACGGCGCGATCGCGCTTATTTCGTTTCGTGTAGATGAATGCTAAAATGTTATTTATAATATTCCCGTCGATATCGAAAGGAAAAAACATTTGGTGCAGTGGCACTTTTCCACATGGAATCTGAACAGCGCGGTACTCAAACGGTTAAACACTGACTGGGTGTGTACTCACACAAGTACAGTTTTGTTAAACAACCAGTATGTATTCTGAATGAAAAGAGTGTACAGTGTGGCCGTATAATTAATCAGGAGCCCAACTAATCGTTTGATGAACTACCGTAAGCGTATTTTTGGTGCCCCTAAAATTCAGCTATGTATATTTTTAGTTTTCCGACGATATTAACAGTTCGAGATTCGAAATGCTTTTAATTTTACAATTGACTATTATATCTGATTACTGTATAGTTCAGGTTTTTTCTTCAAGCTTTGCTGAAAATTTATACGTAGAAATGCAGGTGTGCGGCAGCCAGTAAGCATGGTATGTAAACAGTTTCTCATATTTTCGTATAAACCAGGGGTTGGCAAGTTCTTCGATAATAAATGCCACATATAATACTTTTCATACATTTTTGATGTTCAAGAGCCACAGAAATAAAATATTCGAATATTGATACATACTATACTACTATAAATTATTAATATAAAAGTTTAGGAGAAATGCCAATGAAACCCAATACTGTCTCGGAAGCCGCACACAGTAGCTTTGAGAATCGCATGCAGCTCACGAGCCACAGTTTGCCCACCGATGGCGCAGGCTAATTTGGAAAATCCGATTCGCAATTGAAGCTTCTGCTACTCGCGTAATTATATGATGCGTTAATGACTATCCAAACGAAATGAGAACGCTGTTACAAATGCTTATTAAAATTTCGTCGTTTTCCTTATAAAGAATTATTTCCGTTAGTTAAGTTCTAACTTTATCTCGTTAACACGTCGAACCACAAAGTAATCAGTGAGAATCATGTTAAAAGGATTAACTTAACCACACTATACCACACCTTTCCACCTAGGATACCATGAAATAAAAATAATAGTGCAACATTCAAGCCTTACTTTCTATGAATAATTTTTAAATATGCATTTCTAATTTATTTATTTTTTATATGGAATCACCACATGTAAGGCTGTTGCACGATTTCTAGGACATACTGCATATTACGTGAATGTAATCGACTCTAATTGTGTACATTCTAATCTTTGGTACTACGGAATTATGTTGCACACTCAATTAATATTCTTTTTAATTCTATCAAATAATTATTCTTCAATTATGCTGAAGTAATATATGGTTTACGTAATATTATAGCAAGAACTAAAAATGTATATTTTATCGAAAATATTTTCACTTACTCTAATGAACTATTTTCGTTCGTTTCTTGAATTTTGTCTACTGTTTGTGCAGTGTTGGCGTTTAACATTGTAGGACTTTCCTTCGACTGAGTGGGTACAGCGAATTTTTGTACTTGACTGGAATAAATACTTTTTGAAGTAATTTGTGTCGGAGGAGCAATTCCATTTTTTTCGTAATACTTCCTTAAATCAACAGTAACACTTTTTGTACAGTTGTATGTTTTATATATTCCGACAAGATAGTCTGCTAGCTCGAACATATTCGACCTTAAGGATACAACTATAAATTGTGCATTTTTCGTCCTTTCTTTGATGTAATTTCCAACAATTGAAACATTCTTAAAATCTAAAGCAGCATCGATTTCGTCCATAAAATAAAGAGGAGTTGGTTTATAGTGATGCAACGCGAATACAAGGGCTAGAGAACTCAAAGTTTTTTCACCTCCGCTAAGATTACAAATATTTTTCCAAGATTTCTTAGGTGGTCTTACACTAAAGGCAATTCCATCGCTAAAAGGGTCCAAAGAATCAACCAACTCTAATTCTGCATCGCCACCCAATGTAATCATTTGATACATTTCCTTTAATTTATCTGTAATTATAGTAAAACCGACAAGAAACTCTTGAATCCTACGACGTCTTGCAGATTCATAAATGTCTCGCATTTTGTTGCGTTTTGTAGTTATTTCTTCCAAATCTGTTGCACGTTGCAAATATAATGCATCTTTTTCTCTATACTCTTCGATAAGCTGCATATTTGGAATTTCTGTCGGTAACCTTTTCTTAGTTTTATGTAAATTACTTACAAGTGTTTTTTCATCTAACTCATTCAGTTCTTCTTCAGTTAATTCTTTTAAGTCTTCTGAATTTTCACCAGGTATCGCTTGAAGCTTCAATGCAGCAATTCTTCTCGTATAATCTGGAATTTGATGTTTCAATTCCTTTACTCCATTTTGACATTCCTTTAGCTTTTGATCTAGATCAATTTTAATGGCTTTCATTTTATTCTCTCGGGACTGCAAAGCGTTTAATTCCTCTTTAAGGGCTGGCATAACGCTGTCTCTTTCCAAAAGAGCTTCTGCAAGTTCATTAAGTTCTTCTAAATACTTTTTTCCTTGCTCCTCTAATACTTGTTTTTCTTTTTGAATATCACGAAGTCTTTGCTCGCAAGTATGCACATCATTTTCGAGGGTACTTATGTGTTGTTCAATTTTTTTCACGTTTCTTTCTGATGTTTTCATCGCAACTTGCAATCTACAAATTTCTGCTTTAGCTTTATCAATCAATTTACATAAATTAGATATGATCTTTTGCTGATCCTTCACACGACTTCCTGATATCTTTTCGATTTTTCCATTAATAGATAGTACTTCATTTTCAACGGACTTCGAACTTTCCTTTACTTTCTGTAGAAATTTTTCAGCTATGTCCATCTCTTTCTGTAGCAGTTTAACTGTTTGTGGGTCCGCTACCGACTCCTGAACTTTGTTTTCTTGGATTTTCAATTGCGTTTGTAATGATGGTTCTTGTTCATGCAATGTCATGACTTGGATATGTAACTTTTTTGTACTGACGGTCATTTCCTGTAAATCTACGTTTAGAGTGTGAACCTGATTTTCTAAAGATTGATATTCTGCTCTGAGTCTAGTAGACTCTTTGAATGTTCTATCCAAATCTTCTTGCAATTTTTCAATATCAACAACAGACAGTTCATTTCTTAAAACCTTTTGCCCCATTCTTCCCCTTAATACTGTTCTTCCTCCTCCACTCATTGTACCCGACAATTCAATTAATTCACCCTTTAAGGTAACAACTCGAAAGCGTTTATGACCATATGCAATACGTGTTGCTTGATCTAAATCATTTGCTACTAATGTATCTTGTAACCCATAATAGAATGCTGGCAATACTCTCTCATCGTCAACTTGTATAAGATCAAACAGCCTCGAAACGTTCTCAGGTGTCTGTATTTTTTGTTTACATCGTGCTAACAGACGTTCCTGTTTTTCTAATGGAATAAATGTGGCACGTCCTATATCATTCTGCCGAAGAAATGTTATACATGCTTGTGCTGTGGATACAGTGTCAACTACAATATTATCCAGAGAACCACAAGCTGTTGAAATCGCAATATCATATTTTCCGTCTATAGCACCAAGGTCACCCTACTCGTTGAAGAACACAATAATTTTTTTTATAATATACTATAAAAAAATGTTAAGCTCTGACAATAACACAACTGAACTAAATGGAAAAGATTTCACATAACTTAGTACATATTATAGTACTTTTAGCAATAATAATTCCGTTTAGTGAATGTAATGAACCAAGATCCTACTTGTAGACATTAAACTGTGATGCACAACTTTTCATGTAATTTGAGACATAAATTTTTTTCTTTTAACCCTCTTTCTTAGAGCGACTAACATGATGTCATGTTTTTTTTTTATAAAAATATTGAATTACTCATTGAGTGTAAGAAAGTTTTTGAGAAAATGTGACATATTAATGACCCATCATTATTTTAATAATAACAAGGGAAATGTAAAGGTAAATAATATTTACATACAAATTATAATAACAATATATGTACAGGGTGATCGTCACGATGCCGGGGTCGAAAACAAACCACCTGCTATATCGTTTAAGTCTGTGACAATAAACGTGTCATCGGTAAATTACTCCTGCTGAGCAGTCTACGAGTGTCTGTCTGTGGATATCAGGGCCAGGGCACATAAACGATAAAGCAGGCGGCTTGTCTTTTGATCCCGGCAGCGCACAGCGCACAGTGGTACAGAACGCCGGTTTAGGAGTTCAGAAGATTATTAATTTTGGTGTAAAAATGGGAATTTCAAAATCTAACTTGGTAAGCATGTAAATAATGTTCATATTTATTAAAAGAATACAAAATTATTATGTTATGTCTTTTAAGAATAATTTCTTTATATACAAAATAAAAAAAAATTCTTTACGTAGTTATCATTGTCAATTACAAATTCCCTTATATCATTCTCGAAAATTAATGAACTTCTTTCAAAATTTTTCTTTTGGATAACATTCTCTGATTGTTTAATATCCGCAATTTCGTTATGCAAAAGAAAAATTTTAAAAGAAGTTCATTAATTTTCGAGAATGATATAAGAGGACTTGTAATTGACAATGATAACTCAGTAAAAAGAAGTTTTTTAATTTTGTTTATATAAAGAAATTATTCTTAAAAAAAAAATCATAATAATTTTGTATTCTTTTAATAAATATGAATATTAAATACATGCTTACCAAGTTTGGTTTTGAAATTTCCATTGTTACACCCAAATTAAGCTTCTGAACTTCTACATCGACATTTTGTACCACCTGTGCACGGGGACAATCACCTTATGTGTTGATATTTTGCTATTATAGATACTATCAGAAATTTTAATTTCATAACATCGCACGTAAGTAAATAAAGTGAAACATTTAAAAGGATAAATAGTTTAAAAATTAAAGAAATACATACTTAGTTTCTGATTGAATTTTTCATAGAATGACTAACTTTTATAAAGTTTGTTTTGGTTGGTTCAGTAGTGTTACACATTATACATACATATACAGGATACCTACGATAAGCACCGATTATAAATATATAATATTTGAATATTACAATCTGTTGAAACAAAATGCTACATTTTCACACTAATATTTGATTACAGTTTAATACGTGTGGTTAACGTTTACTTTTGAATACGAATGTGTGAATCGATGTGCTGCGTGAATCTTTAGGAATTTTGAGTTATTTTCAGACACAAATATATCGAAATTAAAATAATCTAAAACACCCTTTATAGCGCGGGTACACTGGATACAAAAAAATGATTAACGTCCCGGGTGATTAGGTGGAATCACATAATTGAAACAATGGATACGGGGGTTTTACTGTACTCTCAAGCAGAGAGAAGAAAAAACGTAATTTACTACTAATGTTTTCTATAATATCAACAGTTTAAATGCTATGTTAATCAGAGCTTTTTGTTGGATATCCCATACATTAAATTATTTTACTTACGGAACATATAATTTAAAATTTTCTTACCAATCTGCCAAATATACCAGAAAGTCTTCCTTCCCTTTTCTCTCGCATTAAACTGTCTATAATTTTGTTCCTCGACTTACTTGCTTGCATAGCAGACTTTTTTTCTTCAAACGAAATTCTCATCTGCTTCAACCTTGTAGTCACTTCAATCTCGTTCTGTTTTACTTTCTCTAATGCCTGTTGTGCTTGTATCAAATTTTGTTGACATGCTGGAATTCTTAGTTGTAAGCTCTGCAGTTGCTGTTCTTTTTCTACTAAAGTATCTGATGTTAATTTTAAGGAATTCTGTAATTTTTCTAATTTCTGTCTTTCTCTAGATTCTACAGAGGTGCACAATTCTAGTTTAGATTGAGCAATATTGAAAGCTGCTTGTGCTTGGTCAACGTCTTTCCTTAAAGATATCAATTTATTTTCAAGTTTAGAACGTTCATTTAATAATGGCTCTGTTTTCTCACGCAATCCAACCATTAATTTTTCTAATACTAGTTCTTCTTGTTCCTTTGTTTCTATATGACTTTCAATGTGCTGTTCACATTCTTGAATATCTTTCATGCTTTTTTCAGGTACTCTACTAAGCTCTTCTATTTTGGATTTTTCCTAAAAATAGCATTTAATAATTGAACTAGTTTAAAATTAAACAGTATATATTTCAACTTTTAGATAAAAAAAAATAAAAATGTATTTTACTGATTTTAATGTTGCCATATTTGCTTTCCGACGTTTATTAGTCTCCACTAATTCTGCATGGAGTGATTCATCTTGTTTACGAATACTATCAAACTGGGTTGATATTTCATCTTTTTTTAATTGTATGTCATCCCATTTCTTCCTTCTTTCCTGAACTAATATATTTTTTTTAACTTTTTCGTCATGAATTTCTTTCATTTTGTTTGCTAGATCTGACATATCTTTATCCAATTCATCAATTTTGATCTCTTGCTGCACTAATTCTTTCATAGTTTCAAATCTATAAAAAGGAATTTTACTATTTTAGAAAACAACTGAACACTTTAACAACTTAGTAACAAAGTACCTCTTATAATGGTAAAGTTGATGCTGTATCTTCGTTATAGCATTTTCTACTTGTAAATATTGAACTGCTTCTTGCATGGGTTCTTCCAGTGCTGCTTTTTCTTTTTCAACAATTCTTAAACGATTTAACTTCTCAACTCTATATTCTGATAAAACTTCTACTTTCTCTGATAGTTTTTCTAATGGTTCCTTGTAACGAACTGTCCCAATTATATCTTCCAAAAATTCAAGCATACCAGTATCATTTTCAGTTTGTGCCTTAGGTTTCATCATTGCTATTTGCTCAACTTCTCCCTAACATAATAGTTCCATCTTAAACGATTACATTATAATAAAATAGAAACCCTTTCGCTATACTATTCCCTACTATTAGATAACCATGCTGTTCAAAATAAAATAAAAAATATTCCCGCATTACTCGCACTACTCACATTATTCCCGAAGTAATTGAATGTTATTTATTATTTATTCATATAGGGTATGAATGTAATAAAGTACCTATAGATTGTTATATTTTGATTTATAATTGATACTAGTATACAGAAATTGTTTGATCAAAGACAATTATAGTTGGTCTCAGTAGCGATTGGGTTAATAAAATATTTAAAATCAATTTCATACTTGTAAGATTAAGAAACGGTTGTGCTCTAAATCCACACCATAGGATCTTAAAAGCTTTCCAATCTCTTTAAACTGTACTTTTTTTTTGTTAAGTTCATAGTATGAGGTATTATCTTTAAATGCTGTTCGAGATATAATAAATTCACTATTTGGAAAAACATCATAATCTATTTCAGGCTAAAATCAAATTTTTATATTACAGAATTTGATAGAATTTTTATTTTAGTAATAAAATGTTTAATAAGTACCATACTTTATCAATAATTTGTTGAAAATGTACAGACACTGTACAGCTATTAATATTCTGATAGTTATTAGAATTATGTATTAAAACTGATAGCTTCTTCGACCGAATCTTATTAGCTCTATATCCAAATACAAATAACATTGAATCTATAACATTACTTTTACCACTACCATTTGGACCAACAATAGCTGAAAAGCACTGTAAAAAATAAAATTAAAAGGTCATTGTATTTTAATTAAACTTTAACTGAAACATTCATAATTTACCTTATGAAATGGACCAATAATTTGGGTTCCGCCATAACTTTTAAAATTTTCATTAACAATCTTTATGATCATCAGTCTAGGACCGTTAGTATCAATTTCACGAGAGGTTTTGATAGGTGGTGGTATGTATATATCATCATCTACTTTGAATCCACCTTCTTCATCAGTATCCATTGCAACATGTTCATCAACTTCCATTGCTTCATTAACTTTTCTCTGATTAACTTCACCATCGTTAACCATTTTAAAAACAAATTTGCAGTGTATTCTTCTTTCACATCTGACAATTTGCATCAAAGGAAACCAGTTTATGTAAAATAAATTAATAGTTAAAAGTTAGAAGTACATTAATATTTTATATAGGCAAACACAGTTAATTTAAAATATGTTCGTTGTAGACTTTAAATACATAGTTAAAACAAGATAAATACAATTAATTGAGATATTATGTAAAAAAAAAGTGTGAGACAAGAAAAAATACTGATTTCCCGCCACTTATTTCATAACGACAATGATGCCGACGAAGCCCAATGATCACCCAACAACAATGCCTTAACCATGCCTTAACCGCCTAACCAGTGAAACCAGACGCGGGGATCGCTAGTACCAGAGTCAGCTATGGCAATGGCTGCGTTCAAAAGACACAACCGTTGCGCAACCGTTGAGTGATTTCACTAGATTTGCTACCGCTCACCCAATAGGGTGTAGCGTTCAGATGGTTCAGAGTAGTGATGGGCACCATCGACTAAATTAAACTATCGACTAATGATTATTTAGTCGCAACATACCATCGACATTGACTATTTAGTCGATAGTTTTTAGTCGACTGAAATTTTACTTTATAGGTTATGTATAGATTATGTTGTCAACTTTTCAGCATCATTGGTGTATTTACCTTTTAGAAGTGTATTAGTTCAAAAGATAGAATTTCAAAAATATAAGTCGTAAACAAGTTTTGTTAAACAATTACTAATATTCGATTGTTTGTAAGCTATTTAATATTGGCACTTAAAAAATTAACTGCATTAAATTTTTTATGAAAATCAATTGGGTTATAAGCAATAATTTGCACAGTTCTTGGTAATGCATAAAAAAATATATGAAAAACTTGGAATTGGTTTGCATCACGAAGAAAATAATCAAGATCCAGTTAATAGCGATTAGCGATCAATAGCCCGATAGTTCGAGCGAGTCGCTTCAAGCGACTAAATTTAGTCGACCGAAGTAGTCGCTTCAAGCGGTTAATATTACTCGCCTGAAAGTAGTCGACAAATGAAAAAATTAGTCAACTGAAAATAGTCGTTGGTTACTATAATTTATATTATATTATACATCGACTTAATCGATAGTTTTTAGTCGATGGTGCCCATCACTACCACCTCTAACTACAGCCATAGGAGAATCCCCTACCAACAGCCCCATTAGGAAGAGAGAATAGCTACTTCAGTTATTGTCCTCTCTCTCTCTCTCTCTCTCTACTGCCAACCTCATCCCTACCATAAGACCGCACACTCTATTATATATGTCTATGCTACAGATAACCAAGGTAGCCGAGAGGAATATGCTCCAGTATGCGCAAACAAGACCGAAATTCGTCATTTCCATTTCACTGTTATCAACTGTTATGATCTTATTTGGCGTCGACTATACAGAAGTACCTACGAAGAAAAAGGTATACAAATGTACACTTTAATAACTTCATACAAGTTGAATGACAACAAACTATTTATACATATTTTCTAGAAATTCTGATATCATAATTTTGAGAATTTATACAATAATTCATAATACGTACTAGTTGAAATTATCGATTGTATTAAACGTATATATCTATTCAAAATGTTATATAATTTTAACCTGCATTTCGAGGCATAAACTGATATGGTTATCTTAATTTTTATACTTGTATTAGTTGTATTCCTTTTAATAAGTATGTGCTTTGCTTTTATAAAAAGTATTTGCAATTGATTATTCATTAATCATACAGTGTAATGGCATATTTATAGTCTCGTTATAGTTAGATGTAAAATTCTATTGTACGATAATTGTATAATAATTCAATAGTTCTGTTTATTTTTTTATGTATTCTAAAATAATCAAAACTTATTTTTTGTATTATTGTATTAACGTAGTAACATGTATTTTACTTTGTGATTTGAGAGAACAAGTATGTTATTGTATTAATTTGTGCTATTAACAGAGGTGGGTAGAAACGCGAATTGTATAACATGTATTTTACTTTGTGATTTGAGAGAACAAGTATGTTATTGTATTAATTTGTGCTATTAACAGAGGTGGGTAAATACGCGAATTGTTTATTTTATACGTGACACGTGTCTTAAATGTCGTAAATGTAGTATACCTGGAATGAAAATATCTATAACGTGTTTCTAACCTACAAAATGTTTTTCGTTTAGGTTATAAAGAAGTGTTAATATTAACAATCATGATTCTGATTAAAAACAATTAAATTCGGTTACATTGATGAAAAGTGGATATTGAAAGGTTCCAAAAAAAAGTTGTATAGAATAATAATTATAATTTGTTTAGATTAAAAATGATGTTAAGAAAAAGTTTATTTTGGATAAAGTAAGATTAACCAACTACTAGAAAATTTCTGTCATTTTGACTTAATATTGCTTTTAGTGTAATTGATTTAAAACATTGTAAAGCATGTATTAATACCCTAAATGATTAATATAAGCCTCCTACAAGGAAGACATTATCAATAGCAATTTTGGATGCACAATATGATGAGCTTGTTAATTCTACAAGGTAAGATGAACCACAAGATGGAGGATTACTAATTGATGGGTGGAAAAATTCAACAGTTAATAGTTAAACTGTTGTGGCCATGGCTAATGTTACATCTTACAAGTGGCCAAAAACCTTTTCTAGACTCTTTGAACTTTAGTATAATAAGAGAAAGTGGAGAGGATCTGAGTGAAGTTGTAAAATAATTAATTTCATTATTACTGATAGCTTTATATTTATTGATATTAATATTCTTTTCATAAACGTTTTTAGTCTCATCTGTACACACGGTCGAGCAACTTACCATACTTAAACCAGATGTATTGTTATTAATCTTATCGTATACATTTTTATTTACATGATTGAAAAATTTTCATTTTTTTTATTGCAGACTCATTTATGTGGTCCTAGTCTCTTCGCAGCTGTATTTCCGATATCACGGTTGCACACTGTGCAAAACGCTACACGTTCGCCTTTCTCATTCTTTCTCCTAATAAACCACAAAGGTTCACATTGATTATGTTCGTTGCTATCACCTATTTTTTGGCAATTATTAATAATTTACCTGTATAATAAAAGTTAATTTGAGGTTATATTTCGTGTTTAATATCATACCTACAAATTACATTTTTAACATTACATACTGAAAGAAGATATGTATTGATTTTACTTATTTTTAAAAAATTATTCTACATTATTTAAATATTGAAGTAATTAATATTTTTGTTTACGACATTTGCAACAAATGACACGTACAAAATGGATTTAAAAAAGACATATTTGAGATGTGCGGGTACCCGACATTTCGGACTCTGGTGGGGTCGGTAAAAGTCAAGCGGGTACCCAACATACAAATGTTCGAATAGCTTGATCCCGTCGGGAAGCCTGATGGTGGCCGACACATTCGGGTCAGATCAGTAAAAATCGGACTCAAGATTCGATCTATATCACGTTCATAATGCGTTCCTTGATACATGTATGTACTCTTTCTTTTTTCTTTTTTTTTTTTTTTTGTTAAGACAATTACTCTACAAGCATATGCAAAACCTTTATAATTTTCATAAGACAAAATAATATTTCTAACACATTTATTTATTCAGATTAAACTTCCCTCGATATCATTTTTATTTTATATGAAATACATATGATTTCAATTCGTTACTTTACCAGAATCTGAAAATTCTTCCTATTAATAAATTAATATTTTTCCTCTTTTAATATCGCAGTGCTTGTACGCAATTACTCGTACAGGGATTTAGTCTGAATAAATAAATGTGTTAGAAATATTTTGTCTTATGAAAATTATAAATGTTTTGCATATGCTTGCCGAGTAATTGATTGTCTTTAAAAAAAAAGAGTACATATATATATATATATATATATCAAGGATCGCATTGTGTATACGGGTCGAATCTCGAATATCGGAAGAAGTCCGAGCCCGGTCGCTTTTTGCCGATCTGACCCGAATGTGTCAGGCTGGCCCGACATGATTAAGTTACCCTGAGCCCTGAGCTACCCGAACATTCGTATGTCTCGGGTACCTGCTCGAATTTTAACAACCCGACCCGACTGGTCGGGTACCCCCACACCCCTGGTAGATATACGACATGACGTGTCGCAAGTCGTAAACGCATTTACAACATGGTGTAAAACTGTAAAATACGTACCCACCTCTGGCTATTAATATTAATCAGGTATATGGTACATAACATTTTACATTATACATAATATAAATTTTAACATTTTTCTTGAATTATTGAATGGTTATCATAACATTTAACATTTTATTTGCTGTGAAATAAATAAACATCAATAAAAACACATTTTAAAAAGTTTTACTTTATTTCCTTGAATACATTACACTAAAAATAAGTTTAACTTTATTTTATAAAAATTGTATTTATTTTATTAGAGGCAATATGTATTATATGTTATAATAAATTGTATATCAATTATGTACAATATATTTAAACCATATATGTATATACATTTTAATCTCTATGTTAGTATATTAAAATTATCATATGGTTAATTCAAATTATTTATTAGTATTACAAATATACTTATAGTGTTTGTTACATTTCTGTATTGTCTTTAAAAAAAATTTGCCGACATATTCTTAGTACTGCAGTTATTTTCATTAAATATTTGTTGACACTGTGATAATAATACTTGTTTATTTAATATATGTCATAGATCACTAATTATCAATTATAAATTTGTTAACAGACCCCTGATGAAAATAGCTATGATATTTGAAAAATGCCAGGAATATGTTCCTAAAAGACATTGATTATATTCAATAGCCTTGAGTACTAAAACTAAATTCTGATAGCCTGCAATATTCAATTTTGTAATTAAAGCACATATGTATGTCTGTAAATATTTTTGTAATTACTAATTTATTTTATTTTTTTTTCAGGAATAATGCTGAACAGTGTAACAAAACATATTTTACACTGTTGTCTATTATTTATTATCATAATTACTTTTGAATTGATTTCTGGTGGACTTAGTTTGAACAATGATAAAAAGGACCTATTAGATCCTTGGGTTGAATATGGATTCGTTGGTGCTTTTGTTTTGTACCTGCTGCGGACTCTTACATTTCTTTCCTTTCCTCAGGTGTTATTTAATTTTGTTGGGTTGACAATTTATAATGCATTTCCAGACAAAGTTGTGTTAAACGGTTCCCCATTGCTTGCACCATTCATATGTATTAGAATAGTGACACGTGGCGATTATCCACTACTAGTAAAAGCAAATGTGAAAAGAAATTTAAACAAATGCATAGAAACAGGTTTAGAAAACTTTCAAATTGAAATAGTGAGTGATAAACCAATTGGATTACCTCCTCATCGAAGAGTTAGAGAAGTGGTAGTTCCACTGAATTATCGCACAAGTAGTGGTGCATTATTCAAAGCACGTGCTTTACAGTATTGTTTGGAAAATTCAGTAAATGAATTGGCAGATAATGATTGGATTGTGCATCTTGATGAAGAAACATTGTTAACTGAAAATTCTGTTCGGGGAATACTGAATTTTGTGTTGGATGGAAAACATCAATTCGGTCAAGGTCTGATTACATATGCAAATGAAGATGTTGTCAATTGGATTACTACTTTAGCAGATAGTTTTAGAGTAGCAGATGACATGGGAAAATTAAGGTTACAGTTTACAATGTTTCATAAACCATACTTTAGTATGAAAGGTTCTTATGTTGTTACTCAGGTAATTATTTATTATAAATGAGAAATAAAGAAGGTTTACAATATATTGCTTCTTATAAAGAAAAGTTATAAAACGTCTTTATTATAGATGGGTGCAGAACGACAAGTTTCATTCAATAATGGATTAGATGGATCTGTTGCAGAAGATTGCTTTTTTGCAATGAAAGCATTTACCCAAGGTTACACATTTAATTTTGTGGATGGTGAAATGTGGGAGAAGTCACCATTTACATTATGGGACTTTGTACAACAAAGAAAAAGGTGGCTACAAGGTATATTGCTTGTCGTACATTCCAAAGCTATTCCATTGCATAAAAAATTGCTTCTGAGCATATCTTGTTATTCATGGGTAACACTGCCTTTGTCTACTTCAAATGTTGTATTAGCTGGAATTTATCCTATTATTTGTCCACCACTTATAGATTTTTTATGCGCATTTATTGGTGCAGTAAATATTTATATGTATGTTTTTGGTGTAGTTAAGTCATTTTCTTTGTACAGATTTGGTATTGCTCGATTTATATTATGTATATGTGGGGCATTATCAACAATTCCTTTCAATTTGATTATTGAGAATATTGCTGTCATATGGGGTTTATTTGGGAAGAAACATAAATTCTATGTTGTCAACAAAGAGTACTCTGCTGTGTCACTGGTAAGAAGTACCGCGGAAGAAATATAGGTCCCATTGGTCACAGTGGAAGGGGCACGCCTCATCTCACACGCATTTTCGGTTCTAGCGCGACTATTGTCCGAAGTGGTCACACACGCGCGCGCGCGCGCACACACACACACGCACACACACACACAATCGAAGCATATAGCATCGCGTATCGGTGAGCGAGGGAACGAAGTACTCTCCTAAGGAGAGTCTCCTTGCCCCTGTGCCATTCCCACAACACTTTTTGTGAGGCACGCAGAGTACAACTACCTGTGACAGTCTAATAAAATAATATATTAAATAGTCTTAAGAAAAGAACTTATTGTTTTACATGACAATGTGAGTTTACACAAGTGCTGATGCACTATTTGTACCTGTAAGTTGAAATAAGAAGAGCTATGCTTATGTCATAAAGAATGTCTATGTATGACATGAATTGTATATTTGCATGCATCTAAACTGCCTAGTATTTATTAAAACATTCAAAAACAGTGTATGTATATACACATGTCTATTCAAATTATTAATGCCATTATCAAGATTAGCAACCATCATCATTTAAATTAATTCAAGTGAAAACGTTCACATTGATATACAGTAGTAATATTATGGAATAATAGTTTACATGTATACATGTCTCATAAATTTAACGTCACTACTTCATATCAGGTGTAGAAAATACTCATAAAATTCCCTCAGACATCAACGTGTTAATAATTCAACTATTAAATAATTTATTTGAAACAATTCATGCTAGTGAAAGGATAAAAAATGTTTAAGATTGTTATCAATATTTTACTAGTGAATTCATATAAAATCTAAAATTGTCTTGAACTATATGACTGTATTGTATTACTTAATATGTACAGGGTATTACATATTGAAACTGATAAATTACTCGAGCATTCTTACTGGGTCATTTTGCTATCAGTCTCTTTTGAACAACTTTTCAAATATGGTAGAAAAGTTCATCGATTTCAAAATAGAACAACCTATGTATCTACTAGATTATAAAGAAATTATATTTTATATAAAAATTATAAGCAGATTTATGAAACAAATTTAATAATTATTTCAAATATGGATTACTCCTATAAAATAAGAATCTTTAATTGTTATTCAAATTAATTTAATCCTTTAAATTGTAAAGTGTAAAGTATGTTATTATAAAAAAGGTCTTAATAAACGAATTTACAAAATTTGTGTAACTAAAGCATTATAACTTCAATTTATAGCATTATGACATTGGCTATGTTTAATGTGACTGCTATTACGTAGTGTTTGTAAATACGTCTTTACACCCACGAGCAAAGTCAGTTCCCGTTGGGGAAAAAGCAGCGTAGAGGAAAGGCCCCCCACCACTTGAACACAGAAGTCACTGAAAGTCTGTCTGTTTTGCACTTGCGGTTGTACTCTTTTACGGCACCTCCTCGTCTTACCTATGTTTAAGGGATCCCTGGTTTCGGTCGGCAGGATACAAATTACGGTAAATGGGATACCACATGAACCGTATATTACCGTATAATACCAAATTATTCATTGAGCTAATAAATATTTTACAGATTAAAAATTAATTTCTTTTCCTAAACTGGTTAGTACATTCATCAGTACCCCAAAATGCATTTCAGGTTAATGGAACTGCGAGAATTGTACAATTTGTGAGATGGTCGGATGAATCTCTGAATCCTTTATACAGTATTATGTTTTAATTGTTATCATTAGTTGTTGATTATTTCAGAAGTAATCAGGGGATGGATTGAATTACGGAATTGGTGGACAGATTTTCAGAGACGAACGTGAGCTGTAACATCGCGGTAGGAGTAGTGGGGGAGCCCGTACTGTAATTCGCTGCAACGTAGGGAAGCCGACCTGCTCCACTTCTCAGCCAATCCCAGCTTACGATGCTTGCCGTACTGCAGAGGTACGAATTTTCATACATTCTGCTTTAATTAATGACCACCAAATGTTTCAATTAGGTTACCAATCATTAGCACACCTTTCTACATCGATTGATTCCTCCGAAAAGACAATCTATCCAAAAATATCTGTTTTATCGATTCTAAACGTGCGTTGGTACACCTGTATCCTGTATCCGCCAAATGACTACATCGTTTTTTTTGTTTTTTATAGAAACTACGTACCATCAAATGTTGTAATTAGGCCACCAATTAGCACCAAACAATTACGCATCGATTGAGCATTTAAAAAACTGAATCCGGCGAAAAAAAAAATTTTTCGGCTAACTTCACATAGGTGTGGCCCGAGATGATAAATTATAGAGCGCCTAGTGTATTTTGTTTTGTAGTGTAAGTACTACTGTATCTAAGTATTTGTTTGATATTTTAGATGTCGCTACGATGACTTCCAGCAATACGTTCCCTCTCTTCTTGTTTTCATTTTTCACGTTCTTTATCGTTTCGTTTACCAGCGTGTGGTGCGATCACATTGCATATTTTGAGCGTCCACTGCGTTTCGTGTCGCAAGACTTAAAGGTAAATACAGTACTAAATAATATTATTCTACAAATAATACTGCATGTTTCGAATTTATCATGCATTAACATATTAAATCACATAATTTGTTCGAAGAATAAGAAATCACAGCAAAGGATGATTGTCGATATGAAAAGCACTTCAACATCGTGCACCTTAAAAAAAATTCATTCCTGGCACGTTTTTAAAGATAGAAGTTTTAAATTGATATATATTTTTAAATTATTAAAAACTAATCATATCATATGCTATAATTTTGGATTCGGGAATAAAGTTTTGAAAATATGCTCATTTATAAATAACCTGTTGGTCTTCAGGCCAATTCAGGTTTTTATAGATTAATTTACTGTACTGAAATTAAGTTTGACATTGGTTTTTATTTTTATTAAATGTGGTATGATGTCGAAAATAAAGTAAAATTTATAGTAATCCTTAGTAAAAGTTTTACTAAATTGTGTTTTGTATATTCATATTTACGATTAGTGCATAAGATTCGCAGTCTAATTATAAGATATGTGTTAAAAATAAATTCTATTTTGCGGTATAAAGTATAATGATACGTATAATGAGATTGAATGTAATTATTTACTTAACACAATTTTATTTAAGCATTGAATTTATTACCATGATGATTTAAATATTCACCATCTTTCGACTGATAGCAATGATGGTACTTTTTCTTACTGAAATCTATTAATTAATATTAAATACAAACAATAAGGTACAATAAAAATTAACAGTAAAATTATACTTTTCAGAATGCGTTACGTAGCCGCTTATCTTTTAGCTACCCTGGGAGGCAAAACTTCTCCTAGCCAAAATGATATTGAAAAAATTTTATCATCTGTTGGAATTGAATCCGATGGTGAAAAACTAAGGAAAGTTATATCACAATTGAATGGAAAATCAATTGATGAACTTATTGCACAAGGTAGGATAATTTACTTATATATTTATGTATTTCTGTAAAAATGAAATCCATAAAATGTTTCATTTCGATGTTAAGAATTTTTTAAAAGATTCATAAAATAAAGATTTTATACCTCATTGTAATGTACTTCTTAAAATAGATGATGTTTTAAATAAATCTAGAATTTTATTTAGTTATTTCTGATATCATAGTTTAGAAGTAAATTACATTGAGAAAAATATTATCTCAATTGAAAACTTATAATAAAGTTGGCAATATAATCGCATATATTCCATAAACTTCATTCTGTATTGCATTTTTTGCACATAGCTTTTTTTGGCCAAAGTGTCTAAATTCTTATTCTTATCCTATCATCATCAAGTCACTAATAATGTAGATTTAAATTTAGATGAAAATTTGGTTATAGTTTTATGTATTAAAATAATGTATATCAAAACGAGATTGTACTTACTCAAACTTTATAAAAGTGAGACAAGTTTAATTACAGCGTATTGTAATGAAAATCATTTTGATTATTACAGGACATGAAAAATTGTCATCCATGCTAGTAGGTGGTGCTGTAGCTGCTGGAGCTGCTGCTGCACCTGCTGCTGGAGCTGCTGCTGCACCGGCTGAAGAAAAGAAAGGTAAATGTTCAGTCAAATATTTGAAATGACTTTGCATACAGTTAAGAAAATAACTTATTGAAATTTATTTAACAGAAGAAAAGAAGCCAGCGAAGGAAGAGTCTGAATCAGAAGATGAAGACATGGGCTTTGGTCTTTTTGATTAAATTCCATAACAGCCACAGCTGTGTAATGACTGTTTGTACAGCTTTTGTATTATACAGTTTTGACAAAATGATTAAAAAATAAATTGCATTTTTAATTTATTACACCTAATTATTAATTATTTTTATATGGAATGTGAGCAATACGTGGAAGGTATTTTTTCAGTAATCCACAATTATAAGTTTTAATATTTTCAGCATTTTCATAAGTTTGGTAGTGTGTACGTGAAATTTAAAGTAAAAAATTGAGTAATGTGATTGTAATATATCTTAATGTTTATTTTTTATATTAAAAAAGATTCAATAAATATGTAAAAACTGAAGGCGATGTATTAATGGTTACATCGCATCGTGTACAGGCATAAAGGATGCTATGAGGAGGATGTATCATGCACGTATACACTTGTGCCCTTACGGTTTCATTCATAGTAGAGCATAGTGAGTGGGGAATGAGGACTGAAGAAAGGAAGGGGTGGCGTACGAGATTTACCAGAAAATCGAATTGCATGTATTCTTACGCTGATAAATATTTAAATAAACATGATCGCAACAACGTTAATTGCAATTTTTAAGCATTTCATTGTGTGAACCGTATGCCGTTACTTCTTTAACATATGTAAAAAGATTTGGCAATATCAGAATACTTATAGGATCGATCGGAACACTTTTGTACTTGAGGAACTATTTTTAGACAGAGGGGCGGTCGTTGGCGGCCATGATGGGTGTCAGCGGCATGTAGTGACGGCATTCGCTTTGCGTCAGTTGGTTTTGTGCGCTGATGGTCGAGCTGAGGTTTTCTGATTGAGTAGCGCACCACAAGTCAAAACACTTGTACATAGAAACGATAGACAGCCGCAATATTATCTTAACTAAATAACAGCGGCTGAAAAACCTCGGAAAACTGTAGAAAACATCGGAAAAATGACGCAGTTACTACCCATAAGGTTTCAAGAACATCTTCAGGTAAGTGACCTGCTTTCATGCCCGGTTCGTTAATTATTTCGACACGTCGTCAATGATTTTTGTCTTTGCAACTTATATTTTCAAATTAATCATACATTTTTGATGCTTTGTTACATAGTTTTTTTAGTAATGCTTCTTACGTCGGTATTAGAACGAAAGTTCGTTACTATCTTTCGAATTGACATTACTTTGACAGGTATAAAATCGTCGTCGCATGTTTCTTGAACCATGAAAACTTACTAAATTTATAAGTGCATTTATAATTGAATATCTAGAGGTTAACTGATCATGCCATTGTTCTATGTCGGAATCTTGCCGAGGAAAATAAATTGATTTTTTTTTTATCAATGAGGGCCACGTCTACTCAGCATATACGCCCCTTATTTCCGTCTACATATGTCATGAATTTTCCAATTAAAATGTTCGTCTTTTTCTACATAATTTAATGCAATATGTACGAAATTTATAATTCGGTATATCGTTATGATAATTTCCCATTTTTACAGAGAAGATACAATCTTAAGTAAATTGCGTTTCGATGTGTGCAATTATATGTATATTATAATTTACTAATTGTATCATATTTTAATTGAAATCTATTGGATTATTACTTTTATCTCTACCTAAGGTGCCTTATTGATTCCCTTACAATTAATTATTATGTAGGAGTAAGTTTTACATATTACTTTGGTTGCATATATAATTTCTATGAAATTTTTAGAATTAATAATACAAACTGTTATCTCATTGTATTAACTTGTAGTTATTAAAGTAAATATTGGACTTTCAAGTCTTTGAATGTCAAAAATTAGTATTAATGATAAATATAACCTTTATAATTAACAATAGGTTTTGGTTATGTTGTATTTAATCTTTTTAGAATTTATGTATATTAATAGAATATATATTCATATATATGTATATATATATATTCTAGAATGACCTATTATATTTTATAAAAGGAAACTCAATGATTACATTTGGATGTAACTATCAGAATAACATTATTATATTTCCTTCAATCTGTTAGATAATTGAAGTATCAGAAGCATAATTTTAAAAAAATGTATAATAGATAGCATTGTAAAAGAAATTTTTAAATACCTTCAATTTTATAATATAGTTTCTTATGTTTGTATTTTATTATTGTTATAGCTTACAGCTGTAGGAATTAATGCTAACAATGTTAGCTTTAATACACTCACTATGGAATCTGATAAGTTCATTTGTGTCAGAGAAAAAGTTGGTGATACAGCACAGGTAGTCATCATTGATATGAACGATTCTGCTAATCCAATTAGGAGACCGATTTCTGCAGATTCTGCTATCATGAATCCTGCAAGCAAAGTCATAGCTTTAAAAGGTAAATGATATTCTTGCTTTCAGGTGTGCATAAATGTTTGAAAATCAACAAATAAAGATTGGATGAAGTGCACACCCGATTTTCATTAACTATGATACAAAACAAGTAGAACATTTGTAAAATATTTTTTAATATAGCTGATTATTTAACCAGTATTTTTCTACTTTAGACGCATTGGTTCAGCTATGATTAAAGCTGTACCCAAATATCATTGATTTTTAATTGTGGCATTAAATTTCTGTTTAAGTCCTATTAGTGTTGTGTTCTAGAATCATTATTATTCAATAAAAATGTTTTAAAATGTCAACAAAGAAAATGTGTTATTACAAAAGTGAAAGAGTCTGTGTCTCGATAAAATACTTAATAATATATGTATATATATTTTTTTTTTTATGTTTGTCACTACAGCAATGAAAACACTTCAGATTTTTAACATAGAAATGAAATCGAAAATGAAAGCTCATACAATGACAGAAGATGTGGTCTTTTGGAAGTGGATATCTTTAAACACCTTAGCATTGGTAACAGAGACTGCAGTTTATCATTGGTCTATGGAAGGAGAATCAACTCCAAACAAAATGTTTGATCGACATGCTTCATTACATGGCTGTCAAATAATTAATTATAGAACTGATCCAAAGCAAACATGGCTTTTATTAATTGGCATTTCTGCTCAGCATAATAGAGTGGTTGGTGCTATGCAACTTTATTCTGTTGAAAGAAAATGTTCCCAGCCAATCGAAGGACATGCTGCTTCTTTTGCCCAATTTAAGATGGAGGGAAATCCAGAACCGAGTAACTTATTTTGTTTTGCTGTTAGAACACTGCAGGGTGCAAAACTTCATATTATTGAAGTGGGTCAACCTCCTGCTGGTAATCATCCTTTCCCAAAGAAAGCAGTAGAAGTGTTTTTCCCACAAGAGGCTGGAAATGATTTTCCAGTTGCGATGCAAGTCAGTTCAAAGTACGATGTTATATATTTAATTACAAAATATGGATATATACATATGTATGATATTGAATCTGCAACATGTATATTTATGAATCGCATATCTGGAGAAACTATTTTTGTCACTGCTCCACATGAAGCATCTGGTGGTATAATAGGAGTGAATCGAAAAGGTCAAGTTTTATCAGTATCTGTTGACGAAGAAAATATCATACCATATATAAATGGAGTACTACAAAATCCTGAACTTGCATTGCGAATGGCTGTAAGAAATAATCTGTCAGGAGCTGAAGATTTATTTGTTAGGAAATTCAATATGCTTTTCCAAAATGGCCAGTATGCTGAAGCAGCAAAGGTTGCAGCAAATGCTCCAAAAGGAATATTGCGAACACCAACAACTATTCAACGATTCCAACAAGTATATTTGTAGATAATAGTTAATTACTGCGTGTAATATATTTAACAGGAAAATAACTGTTTGCATGTATATGTAGGTACCAACTACACAAGGACAAACATCGCCACTGTTGCAATATTTTGGAATACTTTTAGATCAAGGACAATTAAACAAATATGAATCTTTGGAATTATGTCGTCCAGTGCTGGTACAAGGACGTAAACAACTTCTTGAAAAATGGTTGAAAGAAGATAAACTAGAATGTAGTGAAGAACTGGGTGATTTAGTGAAACAAGCTGATCCAACCTTGGCTCTCAGTGTCTATTTAAGAGCTAATGTTCCCAATAAAGTTATACAATGTTTCGCAGAAACTGGTCAGTTTCAAAAAATTGTATTGTATGCCAAGAAAGTTTCATACACCCCTGATTATATATTTTTGTTAAGAAATGTTATGAGAATTAATCCTGATCAGGGTGTAGCATTTGCCCAAATGTTAGTGCAAGATGATGAACCTTTAGCTGATATCAATCAAGTAAGTACTGTAATAACTCTTATACACAGGGTGTGTCCTATACTATGTGGGAAGTATTACACAAGAATGGATTCAGAACACAAGAATGACAATATGTTGCAACAAGTGTCTTTACCTTCAATGGAATTAATACATGATAGTGTTTACAAATTAATCAGATCTCATGACCCTCAAATCTTTCAGATAAACAGTAAACCAATATCGAACTATGTTGTGTCTGTACGCGGAAAAAATTGTAATAACACAGAACAGGCTATATTTCGGAACAAGGTCACATCGGACATTTGTTTATATGAACTTTTTTGTCATTTTTGTGTCTTGAATCCATCCTTCCAATACTTCCCATATAGTATGGGACACCCTGTATACATATATCACATTGAGGTATTGCTTTTCTGCAATAAATATGCATTTATATTTATAGATTGTAGATATATTTATGGAACAAAATATGGTACAACAGTGCACAGCATTTTTGTTGGACGCTCTGAAAAATAATCGGCCAAGTGAAGGAGCATTACAAACACGCCTCTTAGAAATGAATTTGATGTCTGCTCCTCAAGTTGCTGATGCAATTTTGGGAAATCAAATGTTTACTCACTATGACAGAGCCCATATTGCACAATTATGTGAAAAAGCTGGACTGCTACAGCGTGCTTTGGAACATTATACTGACTTATATGATATTAAAAGAGCAGTTGTGCATACTCACTTACTATCTCCCGATTGGCTTGTTGGATTTTTTGGAACATTATCTGTTGAAGATTCTTTAGAGTGTTTAAAGGCAATGCTAACTGCTAATATACGACAAAATTTACAAATTTGTATTCAAATTGCAACAAAGTATCATGAACAATTAACCACGAAAGCATTGATCGGTATTTATCTTTTATTAAATATATGTTCATTCGAATTGTATAAGTTCATATAGCTAATATTGTTATGTATATTTCAGATTTATTTGAAAGCTTTAAATCATACGAAGGACTTTTCTACTTTTTGGGATCTATTGTTAATTTCAGTCAGGATCAAGAAGTGCACTTTAAATATATTCAAGCAGCATGTAAAACTGGGCAAATTAAGGAAGTTGAACGAATTTGTAGAGAGAGTAATTGCTACAATCCGGAACGTGTCAAAAACTTTCTTAAGGAGGCAAAGTTGTCTGATCAGTTACCTTTAATAATTGTTTGTGATCGGTTTGATTTTGTACATGATCTCGTACTATACCTTTACCGAAATAATTTACAAAAATACATTGAGATTTATGTCCAAAAAGTAAGTTTCAGTTTCAATATGTATCAAATTTATATAAAATTTACAAAACAATTCTATGCGAGTTGAAAGTGTAGAATACATTAGATTTCTATTTATTACAATATTAATGTGATTGATTTCTAGGTGAATCCATCGCGTCTACCGGTTGTAGTCGGTGGTTTATTAGATGTTGATTGTTCAGAGGATATTATTAAGAATTTAATTCTGGTAGTACGAGGACAATTTTCAACTGATGAACTGGTAGAAGAAGTTGAAAAGAGAAACCGCTTGAAACTTTTACTTCCATGGCTGGAATCTCGTGTTCATGAAGGTTGTGTAGAGCCTGCAACGCATAATGCATTGGCAAAAATATACATCGATAGTAACAATAATCCCGAGAGATTCCTTAAGTAAGCTGACAAAATTTAAACATAAATATATATATTTTAATATAAAGAATGTTTTAAAAATCGTAGATTTAGGTAATGAATTTATATTAAATTATAATACCCTAAATGAGTTGGAAGAACAAATTCAAAATTCTCGTTACATATGCTTTTCGTTTTGAGCATTTATGACCGTGAAGGAAAGATATTAAAGATAGCTGCTACAATGAAATCAACTTCTTCTTCGTACTGTATCTGACAGAATATTGATGTTAGACCTATGTACATATGTTTATTATCTGTTCTATGATTTATTTACAAGGATACTATATATGTATACAATATTAAAAGTTTGAACAAGTCATTTCGAAATATTGTATACATTACTACTGCTATTGTGAAGTTAATATTAGTTTATTAACTAGTTTTTGTTCTTTAGAGAGAATCAGTTTTATGACAGTAGAGTAGTGGGAAAGTACTGTGAAAAACGTGATCCACATTTAGCTTGTATCGCTTATGAACGTGGTCAGTGTGATCGAGAATTGATAAGTGTATGTAATGAGAATAGTCTATTCAAAAGCGAAGCAAGATATTTGGTACGACGAAGAGATCCCGATTTGTGGGCTGAGGTTCTTCTTGAAAGTAATCCATACAAGAGGCAACTAATTGACCAGGTTAGTTTCTTTAAAAAATGGCACTAAAACTAGAGTTAATGTATAGAAATATTCACTTTTGTTTTCAAAGTTATAATTATATATATCTACTGCGAATTATTGGTACACTTGTTTATAGGTTGTACAAACAGCTTTATCAGAAACTCAAGATCCTGAAGATATATCAGTCACTGTGAAAGCATTCATGACTGCTGACTTACCAAATGAACTGATTGAACTTCTTGAAAAAATTGTACTCGATAGCAGCGTCTTTAGCGATCATCGCAATTTACAAAACCTTCTAATTTTAACGGCAATAAAAGCTGATCGTACACGAGTTATGGAGTACATCAATCGATTAGATAATTATGATGCTCCTGACATTGCTAACATAGCTATAAACAATGAACTGTATGAAGAAGCTTTCGCTATATTTAAGAAATTTGATGTCAACACATCAGCCATACAAGTTTTAATTGAGCAGGTCAATAATTTGGACAGAGCTTATGAATTTGCGGAACGGTAAGATACAATTTCCGATAAACGTATCATTATTTTTATTTTTCTAGTTTCTTTTTAAAATTTATTAAATCTGCCTTGTTTTTTTAAACATTTATGGACCTGTTTCTGTAGATGTAACGAACCACCAGTATGGTCTCAATTAGCTAGAGCACAATTACAACAGGGTTTAGTTAAAGAAGCTATTGACAGCTTCATTAAAGCAGATGATCCATCAGCATACGTGGACGTTGTAGAAACAGCCCATCGAACTTCTCACTGGGAAGACTTGGTTCGTTACTTACAAATGGCCCGCAAGAAAGCACGTGAATCTTTCATTGAAAGTGAATTGATATATGCGTATGCGAGAACCAACAGACTGGCAGATCTTGAAGAATTTATTTCTGGGCCTAATCATGCTGATATACAAAAGGTTTGACACTTATTTATTCACTATACACATACAGACTGTCACCTAACTGATGCTACAATCCGAAATAGAGTACAATTTACCAACCGTGCTCGGCGGATCAAAAAATATTCTATATTTTCGTCATATTTTTTCATGTAGAATCATTCTTTCGAATAATATTACCAGTTTTGTTGATCTATATATATATTCTCAATATATTGAATTCAGTATAAAATAAGTTCCATTTCCCGTTTTTAAATTCAATTTAGTTTAAGATGTTATTATAAAATTTAATTATTTGATTGTTATTGTATAATTATTGTTTAGTAGATTTTTTATTATCTGTGACGGAAGTTTTGTTATTACACAGTCAAGAACATTCAATTTTAAAAACTTCTATGCTTGTAAATGTAAATGTACATATTTAATTGTTTTAGATTGGCGATAGGTGCTTTGATGACAAGATGTACGACGCTGCCAAACTTTTGTATAACAATGTATCGAATTTTGCACGACTAGCTATTACACTTGTTCACTTAAAAGAATTTCAAGGTGCTGTTGATAGTGCTCGAAAAGCCAATTCAACTCGTACTTGGAAAGAAGTTTGTTTTGCTTGTGTCGATAGCGGAGAATTCAGATTAGCACAGATGTGTGGATTGCACATAGTTGTACATGCTGATGAACTTGAAGATCTAATTAATTATTATCAAGATCGAGGACACTTTGAGGAACTGATCAATCTGTTAGAAGCTGCACTGGGACTTGAAAGAGCACATATGGGAATGTTCACTGAATTAGCTATACTTTATAGCAAGTATAAACCTCAACGAATGAGAGAACATCTTGAACTGTTTTGGTCGCGTGTCAATATACCAAAGGTACGTTGCTGACTATAGTCACAGAGAGGGTGTAAAATTCTATAGAACTGTATTCGAAACTTTACGATTAACAGTAATGACACTGAGAATTGTATTCAGTTTAACTATGCTCAAATTGTTAGAAAACAACTTAAAATCACTCTGTGTGCGACAATTTTTTAACATATACATATGAATCATAATCATGATATACGCAGAAAAGTTGTTACATCATTCTTGTTATATCTACTTCGAATTCTTATGAGTTATAGTAGATTAACTTGATGACGTAATATATAATACAAAAAAAAGTATATACAGCATTTATACTATGCTGTAAATTAATGCTATACCTCGTCTGAGATTATAATATTTTTATATTTCCTCACTATAAAATTCTGGTTTGGATACTGGGCAAAGATGTGACATACATATTCATCAAATGCAAAAACTAATGTAGTCTTTGAATGTATTTTAATCTTAATCTCTCATCATGATAAATATAATGATATCACTTCTAAACTTCTAATCTGGTGGTAATATTGTCAAACAGTAAATTTGACATTGATCATTTTATAGAAGTTAACGATAGGTCTGTAGCACAGTTACACTGGGTTGCTTCTGTTTTACAACCTCTATTTACAAGGGAACATCCCCATGGCGAAAATATATTTTTTCGTTCAAACTGGCATGAATTCGTAGAGAATTAAAAATTATTGAATACGTATTTTTTTTCTTTTTACTAAAAAACAGTTTGAAGAGGTGTTCCAGCTCCTCAAAGTTCGTCGTTCGAAACAGACTTCTTTACGATTACGTGTGAAAAGTTGAAGTTGAAAAGTGAAAGTTTACGCGTACATAAAAAAATGTGTTATCTGCGGTTTTTAAAAACAAACCTTCCGTTCCAAGAATTAAAAAACTTCTTTTAAGTTATTGGAATATCATTATACATAAGTATATTGCGATGAAATGGTAGTAGGACTTGGAGCGAGAGATTTTTTTTAAAAAACGTACATGACACGTTTTATATATACCCATATAATTCGACGTTAAAGAGGAAGCAACTATCGTTTTAAACATTTTTATTTACACGTAATCGTAAGAAGTATGTTTCGTGCGGTGAACTTTGTGGGGCTGTTTCACCCTTTCAAACAGTTTTTAGCAAAAACAAAAAAATTCGACTTCAGTAATTTTTAATTCTCTACATACTCGTGCCAGTTTAAGCGAAAAAAAATATTTTCGCTCTGGGGATGTTCCCTTGGTACACTCGAAGACTGAAGTGTAGTAATCACATAAATAAGTAAATTTTGGGAACACCTCAATGTATTGTACTAAATGAACTCTGAAGATGATTCTTACTATTTTTTAGTTTATGGAACACGAGTTCGAGTACACTGTGTTGCCATTATTAAACTAAATACTACCACCGTGTGATTCCGCAAACAAAATTAATAGCCAAGAAAAGTTTTAATTGCTAGAATTCTCAAGATTATCACTTTTTCACTTTAATATTTCAGTACATATTTGTCAAATACAATGTATTGTTCTCATTGGAATTTGTTTACGATTTCATTTTCAGTACCTTTAAAATTACAAACTATAAGTATATGTTTTAATATTATTTTACACAATTCATGCCCATTCAGGAAATAATACAAGACTGATTTCCATAAATAGTTAAAAATTCTTTGAAATATAGTTTTTAACATTTATTTATAAACGATAAACAGATAGTAAAGGAGTGGTCTTCTGTTACTCAAATTATTCATTTCTTAGCTGAAGAAATTGTTCCCTTTTATTTTATAGGTAATATAGAACGGATATATCCGTTCATTTTTTACAGAAATTAGGTATAATCAATAAATGTATTGAAATGTAAAGATAGTTTTTTTTTTTACAAAAATTTCATATTTATTATTAAAAATAGACACAATAACATTCTTCTTTTCTTCCTTTTTTCAATTGTTAGTAAATATCATAATTAGAATACTTTACAAAGTATATTGTGAAATCAAATTTGTAGTGAGAAAATGCATTTAGAAATATTTAATTTGACGAAACACGTTATTCTTATAAATAAAATGTACAGGTACTTCGTGCAGCAGAACAGGCACATTTATGGGCAGAACTTGTATTTTTATATGATAAATATGAAGAATACGATAATGCAGTACTTGCAATGATGCAACACCCTACTGAAGCATGGCGAGAAGGACATTTCAAGGATGTAATCACTAAAGTGGCAAATGTGGAACTATATTACAAAGCTATACAGTTTTATGTTGAATACAAACCTCTACTTTTAAATGACATTTTACTTGTACTTGCTCCTCGTATGGATCATACAAGAGGAGTTGCATACTTCAAAAGGACAGGACATTTGCAGCTTGTAAAACCATATTTGAGATCAGTACAAGCTTTAAACAATAAAGCAATCAACGAAGCTTTGAACAGTCTACTTATCGATGAAGAAGATTATCAAGGTCTCAGAACATCAATCGATGCATTTGATAACTTTGATAACATTGCACTCGCACAGCAGTTGGAAAAACATGAATTAATTGAGTTTAGAAGAATCGCCGCATATTTATATAAAGGAAATAATAGATGGAAACAATCAGTCGAGCTTTGTAAGAAGGACCGATTATTCAGGTACATTACATCATAATATTTTGATGTTTTATCATGTAATTTTATTGAATAACGTGTATTACTTCTGAAATTTTATATGTATTTCAATAATTTCAAACAGAGATGCTATGGAATATGCAGCAGAATCTCGTAATGCTGAAGTTGCTGAAGAATTACTAGAGTGGTTCTTAGAAAGAGAATCAAAAGATTGTTTTGCAGCATGTCTGTTCCACTGTTACGATTTACTTCATCCAGATGTTATCTTGGAACTTGCATGGCGAAATCGCATTTTACACTTCGCCATGCCCTATCTTATTCAAGTCGCACGAGAGTATATAACTAAGGTAAGAGTATTTATAATTTAGAACTTTAAAGGTTAAAATATAACAGAACAGTTAGCTAGCACTTGTAAATGTTCAAATGAATAATAAATGTTTCATTATTTTTATGGGTATATCTTTTGTATTACGAATAAATGAAAAATATAGTTGATATTGTACTTGGAAGTATATGTATATTTGTAAGAACAGGTACAGTGAACGTCGGAATTGTTCAGTTTTGTATGTACAGGAACATTGAAACTCTGAATAACGTTCATTATTTTTAATATGTAATTTTTAATAAAATTGCTTCAATATTAATTTAATTGATGACATTACCATTCGAAGTAATAAATACATATTGTTTACATCTACTTGCATAGGTCGATAAATTGGAAGAAGCTGAAAGTCGACGTATCGAAGAAACTGACCATCAGGAACACAAGCCTATGATTATGCGTAAGTATTAGTTTTGTTCAAACGAATATAATACGGGGTGTTCACGCTACTACTAGCCACTGTTTTTCTCAAAAATACACTGAGTATTAGAAAAAAGATGGAAGAGGAAGAAGTTTTGGGCTTTTGTTGACCAACATAATAGAATGTATCAACTTTTTACATTTGCAATATTTTTCGAGAAACGAAGAAATTACAGTTCCGTATAAGTTGAATGAACATTTCAGCTCCGTGCATTACATTTTTGATAGCTTCTATAAATATCTGAGATGTTAATACACATGCTTACGTTACTTTGCTTCTTTAATCGTTTGCATTTCTGGGCGGTGCATCGTAAACTAGTGGTTTTCAACCTTTGTACACTTGCAACTGGTAAAAATAGGAAAAATATTTTGCGGACCGCTACGGCAGAAATGAAATCTATTATTTGCATAGTTTTTAAATCTAATATTATCCAATACAAATCACAACTAATTAAATACTAATAATAGAATGTCTTGAATTTGTGAAAAAGCAATATTTAATTAAAAGAAAGTAAGTTTTTTGCAGACCGGCACCGGTTCATGGACCAGCGCAGTGGTTGGAAACCACTGTCTTAAACGATATCTTTAACAGTGACTTTGTTTTAATTCCTGACCTTGTGTGCCCTTGAAGGTTATTGTATAGCACATGGATGAACTTATCTTGACATACGCTTTCATATGACATAAAAAAATATACAGAATCTCATTTAAAAAATTAAAGGTCACCTTCGTTTATGGAAAAATGTTGCAAACGTAAGAACTTGATATACGCTATTCTGCTGGTCATAGGAAACTGCAAAACTTTTTCCTCTTTTATTTTTTTTTCAATACTCACTATTTTCGAGAGAAACACTGGCCAGTAATAGCGCGAACACCCTGCATAATAAAATTGTATGTGAGTATACTATAGAAGTATGTTACACAATATGTGAAGTCAAATATAAAGGGTACTCATTTTAACGGTCCGTACGATTTTTCAACCATTTATGACAGTGCTGTCCAACTTGGCTCCCGGGAGGGGCCCCTCACACGCCTGTTTCTCCTTCCAATCATTTTTTGGTGGCGTGTGCCTTCGTAGAAACAAAGAAGCTTAGACTCTTGTCTCTATTACTCCACGGTAACGGCCGGCGGTGGTGGGGGATAGCGGTTGGCTCTAAAAAGCCAAATTAGACAGCACTGGATTAGAGCAGGAGGTCGGCACTCCCGTGTCAACGAATCGAACAGTGTTTTTGACGCCGCGTCGTATACACTACTTGATACGTGGTACGCATAGCAGTTTAGCCTGTTCAGTTTTCCTACTTCCGCAGATTAAGTAGCTGGTGTGGCGCCAAAAACACTGTCCAAATCTTCCCATTTAAGTGTTTAGCCCCTGGATAAGAGGGTCTCTAGCTGACATATACCATAAATGTCCCTAGCGGAGTATTTTTGGAGTATTCCTCTGCATATTCCTGAGTCTGAATAAGTCAAATCGTAAATACCAACATGTGCCTCTCAGAAGTGATAAATTGACAAAAATCGCATTTGCGCGATAGTGTGATAGTGATATGAAGGGTGGTCTGCTTTGATTTTGACGAGAAAACCATTAAATTGTGCGATATTTGACACAATCTGACTTGAACAACCATCTTGTGTGTTTACATTGGCGTTTGTCTCAATCGCACTCTTTCTAAAATTCCAATTTTTTCAACGTATAGTGTTTATTGGTGTTTATACGGACCAGACCACCCTGTAATGAAGTCTACCCGTGAGTTCTATACCCGCGAAAACTTCATTTGTGCAATTATTGAGACAGAAATTGGAATTTATGAAATTGACTATCTCTCTCGTACATCGTGTATACATACATGGTTCCCGTTACGTGTGTGAGCGCACGGACACAGCTCACGGGCCACGGAATGTCCCCCCTTAAACTAGAGAATATAATATATTTACAAACTTTAGCAGTAAATATCTCGTAAACTGTAAACTATTAGCTATCTGCGCCAAAAACTATGTATGTAATGGTTCCCAGTCAGCAAACCTGCAATGCCAAATTTTGTCCAATGTATGTTATCAAGTTATGGCTACAAGTTTTATGCAAAATTTGTTATAAACAACGTGCGCGCACGTTGGCAGCAACATATGTAGCGAATAGGCTTGTGCAAATCTTGTTCCGATTTTGCCCTCAATTTGACATTGGTCATGTTGCAGGACTTTCTGCCAATTTGGTTTCTCATTTTGTCAGCTGGCGTTGCCTCTAGAACCCAAGTCAAGTGCGAAACCCGATGGCTATGGTTTTTTAGACAACTTTTAACATTTATTGCTGGCAATTTGCTCGAAACTTATGCACAACTGGTTATCAGGGTTACTTCAGTATTTCAAGCTTTATTACTCCGCAAAAGATCATTCGTATAAATATCGGCGGCTCGCTTATGGTATTCTCCATGTTATATAGAAATACACTGGCATGATGTATGGGATAACTAATACAAATAATTTTGACCGATTACTGCATTCTTTGATATCAATTAAACTCCAGAAACAAAACGTTAACATCTCATTTTTTGTTTATAACCCTTTCAGTTTTACATATTTATTGTATAATTTAAAATATTGTGAATATTGTATGGTTATAGCGGAACCTCAGCTGATGTTAACAGCAGGACCAGGTATGATGGCACCTGGTTATGCACCACAAGGTGTATATGGTGCGCCTCCCCAGGGTGTTTATGCGCCAGCAAATGCAACGTACCAAGGTTATGGTATGTGAAATACAATGTGCAACGGATTAAGCAACACAGATCAACAGAATCTACTTTTCTATAATATATAGGTAGACCAAGATTATTTCAATAGCCCATAATTATTATTATGAAATGCTGCAACAATATCATTAAAAAGAAATCATTGTCGTAAAATGATTGTAATATAATAATGACAATGAATTCAAAGTAATCTACAGAATATGTATGTAAGCGCGAATTTCTAGTTCATGGGTAATGTTTATAAAACGTTTAATTTGCTGTTAAAATAATCGAAGTACACATAAATCATTGTTTTGTTAAAACAGAAGATATTGAAATTATTTAAATAGTATTAAAATATTTTGCAACTACAAACAGATATATACAATAGATCATTTTAGCAACCCATATTGTACTGACACTTTCTTCAATTGAATTTAATTATTTCATGGTACTTTGCAAAGTAATCATAACACAGTTTTACAGATTTATCAATGTATTGTGTGCGTACGTGCCTTTATTTAAGTATTGAAAAATTTTTTGTTTAGGATAACATAAAGTTAATGGTCTTAAATAATATCTGTAAGTTTTACTTTAATAAATATGCCACGAAATTATAAAGTGCTTCCTTTTTGGTAAAAAAAAAGAGAATAAAACAAATTTGGCTGCTTATTTGTAGTACATGACCATTAAAAAGACACAAGTACACAAAATTAATGCTTGTTTGTATCCATTCATAAAAAATATTGAAAATATTGTTCTGATACACGAATCCTAGTAACAAAGAGAATCTATTTATTCAGATTCGTTAAAAAGTTGTTGTCACAGTCTATGTATGAGCCTCAAAATACTTAGCAAAAGAAATGAAAAAAGCAGCATATATCAGTACGTCAGTATAACACCAAGGAAGAACAAAGCTAACAAATCTAAACTGTATGTAATGTGTTTAGAAACTCTAATATAATAAGATATAAAATACGTCTGTATGTCTATCAGTGTATAAGTTTAGTATCTATGTGTGTTGTTACTGTGGCATGGATAAATACAAGTTTAGTATTTGACCTGGCAGTCAAAATGTGAAATATAGAATAGTAACATTGTTATACATTCTACTGAAAAATAAATAATAATAAAGATAGCTCTTTGATATATTCTCACTAGACAGAAAACATGTTTAATTCATTCAAAATGAACAAACTTTTTAACAATGTCATCATATTGATGTATCGATATATGTACTGAAATTTGTTTACGCTGACTTATAACATTACATAATATTATTTTTTTACACATTGAATTAAAGCATATGACACCTGTAAAATACATATAAAGGTGTTAAGATTTATGAGCTAATTGTGATTTTGTTTACTTTATTAACGTGTTCAACCTTTAGAAATGTAATTTGAAGTTTTTTTTACATATTGTATTTGGTTTATATAATGTATGTATAGTGTCTTATTCAAAAGTATTGTTCGTTATATCATTGTATTAATGTATAATGAAATTATAATACAAGTATTAGTGCAAGTTAAGAGGTCAAATTTCGATTCATATGTAGAATATGACAGAATCGTGTTGTTGACGTTTCTGCTCGTTAAATGATTTACATTATCTGTATAGAATGCTGTAGTAACAGATCAGGATCAATGTACAAGATATGTCTGAAAAATGGATTCTTTTTCTGGCACATCTTACATTTAATGTTCCTAAAAGAGCTATCTTATTATATTGCATAAGACAGTTTGAGTAACAGTTTCTTGTGTCACACATCTCAAAACAAATGAGAAGTATGCACTTATAAATTGTTCTCAATACTCATATAAATATGAAGCGAAAGTTGAAAATTAAAAACCATACTATGACAATATTAATGTAACAAGACATGTTCAACTACATTTGAATAATGTCTGCTACAGTAACGATATTGGCTATTATAAGAGACTTTCGTTTATTATTTATTGATCGCAGTAATTTTAACTGCACGTATTACATAGAAATGTTAAAATTAGATGATGCGAACGAGAATCTGTAACATTCCTAATAATCACTTCATCTTCATTGAAATTATATAATGAATAAAATTGTAGATTGAAAAGTGTATTTAATGCTGTTCCGAAAACAAATAGTAATGTAACTGTATTATTGTTTGGATATTCTGAATTACAATAAAATATTAGTAAATTTGGAAAGAAACGTATGAGAATTGATTGTTATCTATACGTACATACATATACATGTATACACACAGTCGAAACCACATCTCTGTAATTACAAATTAGAATAAAATGTTAATCAACTATAATTATATTTATTTAAATAGATAATTATGATTGGAATATAAACTTTTTAATATTAATTCTGCATTTTTTTGTATTGTTTTATTATATTTTAAATTTTTATTTATAAGTAATTCACTTCTTATACTTAGTAAACTTTCAAATAAAAAAGTTTACATCTGAACACAGGAGACATTACATTACTATAGATAAAATAAACATCGAGAGTACAGTTATAGTTTTTCATTAAGTACATATTTATTGATTTATACATATTGAATGAAACTGAACTTACTTCTTTGCAATTTCTAAATTTATAATAATTTTAGACAATTATATAAATAGGATATTATATAGTGTATCACAGTTCATACACACGTCCACTTTTTAGCTTCTTTATTGTTCGCTCTATAGGTTTTATGGAAAGATCTTTGCCAAATAATTCTAATTTTACATTTGTTAAATGAATGCTCACAATAAGAACATCCTTTGGTATTGCTGAAATAAATGCAGATTGTAACAATAATATTTGAATATATTGAATATTATGTGAAATATGAGTGGTGACTGATTCATACTTCGAATAATATTATCCCTTCCACATATTCTGAAAGTATTCTTAGTATCTTGAATGACTATACCACTTAATCCAACTAAACTTGGACATTTTGATCCTACAACTGATATTTCAGCACCATGGAAGTCTGCTTTAATTAATTGCTGATTAATATTTTCCCAATTTGGATCAGTCGGACTTGTTGGTACGTTGGTAAAAAACTTACTACCCAACATTTGTTGCATATAATTCAACCACAATTCATTTAACGACTGTAAATCATTGTATTTCATATCATTTCTGCAACCAATTTTACGCAATCCAAGTTGCATTCGCTTCCTATTAGATAATAGTTTTCCCCGACATCCTTTCTTTTTGTTCCATTTATGTTTATGCTTACTCAGTATAAAAGACTGCAAAATAATCAAATATCAAATCTTGTATTTCATGCAAACAAAATTTTATTAATATTTACATTTACATAAAATACAAAAGTGCACAAGATCCTTATTTCAAATTCAATATACATTGGTAGATATTATCACATAATGTTACTGAAATCTATAAAATTCAATGACAGGACCAGAGGTGGGTACGTATTTTACACAATGTCGTAAATGCGTTTACGACACGTCGTATATGTTTGTATATATGTTTGTATATATGTATGTATGCATGTATGTACGTATGTAGAATATGTCGTTTTTGAGTTCATTTTGTATGTGTCATCATTTGTCGCAAATGTCGTAAATAGAAATATTAATTATTTCAACGTTTAGACAATTTAAATAGAAAAACTTTAAAAATACGTAAAAACAGTAATATTATATAAACATGCAATATTAAACATGAAATATAATCAATTTAATCGTCAAATTAATTTTTATTAAAGAGGTAAATTATTTGTGATTGCCAAAAAATGGGTTGTAGAACAAAACTTAATAAATAAGGATAATAAAAAGGAACTTTTGGAGTTCATTAAGAGAAAGGATCGAAAAGGCAGAAATGTAGTGTTTTGCACAGCATGTAACCGTGATATTTAAAATACAGCTGTGAAGAGATTAAACCCACATAAAAGAATCTGCAATACAAAAAATGAAAATTTTTCAATCAAGTAAATAAAATGTTTTATGATAAGATTAATAACAATACATCTGATTTAATTATGGTAAGTTACAGTACAGTGTACATAGATGACACTGAAAACGTTTATGAAAAGAATATTAATATCAATAAATATAAAACTATCTGTAGTAATGCAATTAATTATTTTACAACTTTGCTCAGAACCTCTCCAGTTTCCCTTATTGTACTATAGTTCTAAGAGTCCAAAAAAGGTTTTTAGCCACTTGTAAGATGTAACATTGGACACAACAGTTTTACTATTAACTGTTGAATTTTTCCACCCATCAATTAGTAATACTCCTTATCTTGTAGAATTAACAAGCTAGTCATTGTGCATCCAAAATTGTTATTGACAGTGCCTTCCTTGTAAAAGGCTTATATTGATCGTTCACTGTATTAATAAATGCTTTAAAATGTTCTGAATCAATTACACTAAAAGGGATATTACAAAAAAAAAGAGAAATTTGCTAGTAACTGATATCTTACATCATCCAAAATAAAAATAAACTTTTTATTAACATAATTTTCAATCTAAACAAATTATAATTAGTATTCTATACCCATTTTTTTTTGGAACCTTTTAATATCCATTTTTCATCAATGTAACCGAATTTAATTTAATTGTTTTTAATCAGAATTATAATTGTTAATAAATTGACACTTCTTTATAACCTATACGAAAAATGTTTTATAGGTTAGAAACACGTTAGAGATATTTTCATTCCAGATATACGACATTTACGACACATTTACGATATTTAAGATAGTTAAAACACATGAAATGTGTCAATACATGACATGTGAAATTACATTAAGTTATACCTTTCTTAATTCATCTGCTACAGAATTAATATCAGTGGATGGTAATGTATTTTGTAAAAAGTTTGTTACATATTGTTCGCTATTTTCACAGGTACTAATTTGTTTTGTTATACTATCAGGTAATTTTAAACATACTCTATCTGTAAGTAAAGTAGTAAATATGTATTAAGAAGTAGAAATGTATTATTATAATTTTGACATATTTTATAAGTACATACGATTCACTTCTGTCATTGCAATTGATGAAATAATGAAATGAATAAATCAATTTCACCGTTCTACTGATATTCAGTGAACAACTTATGAAGCGATCAGCAAGTGATGTTTACAGAAATTGACCGAAATGTTAGTTTCAAGCAGTTTCAAGTTAATTCAAAGTACACTCACGAGTAGAGATGGCGTGAACTACTACTTGTGAATCACTCTTGATTCTATCACGTTCGTTCCCAATCACAGTGATTTTTCACAATAATTCGTGATTTCTCGTGATCGCTTCTAATTGGTGGAGAAACCTAACAGTTCTTTACACGCGACACATAATTTGTATATTTTATATTAATGACATCAAAACAAAAATTCGAGTTACATCGTATAAAGTGAAGAAATAATTAGAAAATAATCAAAATAAATTAATGATTATAAATTATAATATACATGTTACCTAACAAATCATTCTTTCAGAATTTCTTGTTTTTTTTACTGATTTTTACAAACACGAATAGTAATGTAATTCATCGTAAAATCATATTGAATACGCTTTTCTGTTTAAAGATCAAGGACTTACGATCGCAGTGAGCAAATTCACTCAAGACAAAAAAATCGCAATTACGGTCGTAAATGAAGTTAAATCACGACCGTGATCGTGATTCGGTGATCACTGTGATAAATCACCGTTAGTGATTTTGCACGCCATCTCTAACTGAAACCGTCTTGTAATTTGATTATTTGTATGCAATCCTTTAAGAAATAGCAATTCTTTCTGAAATTGTCACGTGCTTCTATATAGAAGACAATTCGATGATATGAAGCTTATATTACCTGACGTATGTTTATTGGAATATACATATATACATATAAATTATAATGATATAAAAGTTTGAAATACAATACGATGCGCTACGGTACGTCTATTCGATTCAATTGCTCCCTTGCGACAACATCATGCTATCCGCGTTCGGCGCAGTGCGCTAATACGGAGGCCAACGAAATATCACTGTAACATTTAAAAAAGTGTTAAAGTTCCATTTATATTATTGATCAGTGAAAATGTTCATCCTTCCAGCAACATTCATGTTCCAATGAAAGAATTTACAGAATAAGAAAAAGGAATCTAAAGTAATTTTCAGTAGTTCCATACATCTTTATCTCGAATAATTTTCTAAAACATTCAAAGTACTAGACATTTTTACACTTTGAATCTCATATCGATTT